TCCCTCAACGAGCGATGTCTGCAGGGTCCTGATTTTGTCAACAAGTTATTGCCGGTTTTGTTACGATCAAGACGGCACAGCACAGCGATTCAAGCAGACAACAAAGCTATGTACAACCCGTATAGATACCATCCAAAGACAGGGATGCACTGAGGTTTTTGCGGTACAGCAATGATTACTTGAAATACTAGCTGATTTAAGGTGGATTCATTGTTGAGACGCGAGTTGGATTTTGACATCACCAGCTCATAATATTAGACTGATTCACAGTTTGGTCTGAAATACATCAGCAATGACAACAGAATATCTCATGTGTTTGTTGGGAATTGGCCTCCTCAGAGAGTTGACTCAAATATCCGGATCAGTGACATCATATTATATGACAGCAAGTCTAATCCAGCGGATCTTGTGACGAGACCACAGTCGTGCTTGAAGTCAGATGACAAATGGTTCCATGGTCCAGATATTCTGCACAAATATAGGCAGGATTGGGATGCAGGCGAGAGAAAACCAGTCGACTTAGTAGATGGTGACCCGGAGGTCCGTAAATTTTCAGTCACAGCTATCGACGCCGTTGCCACTGAACGCCTTGATGACGCTCCTCGAGTTAGTGTAAGTCATGCAAACCAAGTTGTAGAAAATGACCAGATAATGCATCACTCCTCTTGGCATAGGATGAAGCGAGCTTTGGCGTGGTGGTTGAGATTCATGGAGTTTCTGAAGAGCGTGCAAGCCTGCAGGTCAACTAACCGTCAAAGAAATCCATCGTGCAGGGGAGATTCTTGTCTGCAAGGCTCAATCGCAGTCATTTGCTTCTGAGATTGGAAGATTGGAGAAGGGGAAATTTGTGAAGGCTTCGATTTCCATGAGAGTGCTGAATCCTTATACATGTACCTATACGATCAGGGTTTGCTGAAAATAAGTGGACGGTGAACGTACACAATAAGGTTAAGAATCCGTTCATTGTCTCAGCCTGCCTGAATCATAGAATTGCAACGTCAATTGATGTGAACAACGTACATGGTATTGCTCATGTGGGTGTAGAGTGGGTATTGAGTATGGTTAGGAGAGCATTTTGGATTACTAGGGAGAGACCTCTAATATCAAGAAGGTTATAAGGGTCTGTGTATTAAACATGTAAGCGCCCCTATTCTAAACCAGGTCAACAGCTCTATAAAACCAGGTCAACATTTTCGCACGTCTGAATCGATATGTTTGGACCATTTTATGTTAAGACCGGTAGATCAGAAGTCAAACGCTATGGTTGTTTACTCACATGTTTTTGTACTAGAGCCATCCACGTTGAGAAGTGCTTAGATACAGAGTCGTTACTGAATGGTCTTAGCGTGACGTTGTATAGCTGATCATCGACGCTTATGGTGTAAAACAAAGTATCGTGTGGCGTTTTAATCCACCCAAAGCTTCCCACATCATGGGGGGGGGGGGGAGGGTTGGGTACGTTTGACTGGTGAAGTCAAGAGAGTTATGGTTGCTGCACTCCCAAGAACTGTGAGATTAACTGATGGAACTCTTGAGACTGTATTTTGTAAAGTAGGGGCCATTGTCAATGGACACCATTGACCAACACTCCAAGGTCGAGCCAATGCACACAGGACTTACAGGTACGATAATTTGCTTTTAATAAATTGTCATAAAATCATTGCACTTTCTCATATTTAATACCTATCAGGGCCAGTTGTTAAAAGCGGTACAACACATACTCTTTAGCACCACCATTTAGATTTCTTCTTCCCAGTACCAGCGCCAGCCAACGCTTTACAGGTCAATAAACTTCAGAGACCGCCAAAAATAAAACGGCGATAGTGATACGGGCCCCTCTTTAGCTTTGGTCAAGAAGTTAGAGTCGATATTTTTTATCATTCCAAATCAACATTTTCAATTACCCAAAGCTGACTTAAATCTCTTAAATCTAACGACCTTTTTTTTTTTTTAATTTGAACAGTATATTTAGGTAAAAATGCGAGTTTTCGTGTACTACGCATTTTACAGTTTGCACATTCACGTTCAACATTTTGTTGTCTTCGTTATGGTATTACCCCAAACTTTCCCATAAAAAACCTGCCCTCTACTTCGTCTACGACACTCTCGTTGATTTTAAATATCGCTAACTAGTTTGGTAAGTTCAGCAACCTAAAATGTCGGACAATTTCAAAGTTAGTCAAAACGAATTGAAACAATGAGCACGCGTTTTCGACCCGGAGTATTCGATTTGTCTCGTCCAAACGCCGAATCGTGTTTTTCAGAAATTAAAATTGCTCTAATGCCACACAATTTAAACACAACTTTTGTTCGATTTCGTCATACTTTATAGCAATATCTTCAAAGGCACATATAGGCCTTGCATGAGAATGCAAGTTTACTTTGTTCTCACCTTATTTCTTCATAAATGTGTCATTTCTTTTGATTTTATCTTCTCAAAATATTTTAGAATCAATATTTAAGGCATATTACACGGGGATTTATAAGTTATCGAATCGTCAACCTATCGCTTGTATATATCGAAGGACATTAAGTTGCCACTATGCGGAGGTTTAGGTCACTTCGTAGTGACGGTGACGATGTGTACATAGTGACCCAGTACTTCCGAAACCAAAACCATATTCTGGTAAACGGAAGTTCAAGGAAGTTCCTGTTGTATTTGAAGTGCCCTCTCGACATGTCAAGTTCCAAAATGTACGACAGACAGGTTATCATGTATTTTAAATGTTGGTGTCATTTTCTACAGGGGGTTCATGTAGGTATAATTGCCGTATTTTCACTTCGATCTTGCGAGATTTACCCTTTTTAAGCTCTGACAGGAGCTTCTATATGGGGTCTACCCGACGTTTGTTCCCCAATACCGATGTTCCCCGAAATCCTTAGGATTAGGGTTATGGTTAGAGTTAGGGTTAGGCCGGGTTATAGGGTAAGGATTTCGGGGAACATCGGAATTGGGGAACAGTAAAGGGGAACATAGGTATGCACCCCTTGTATATACATATCACTTGGTGGTTTGTCTGTCTGTCTGTCGGTCTGTCGGGCTGGCTGTATGTCTGTCTGTCCCCGAAAATTGACCAAACGCATGGTGTTCCATAATGTGCCATCAGTGTCGCATTTTTCGGCGTCGCATTTTGAAGCACTAGCAGGGATCATTTTGATCGATTTCATGCAAAACTTTCATGCAAGACTTCTTGCAACACCGGCCAGAGCTTATTGTGCACTTGCAAATGTCTATAGATGTTTTATTTCCTAATAATAAGTTTTGTTGTCTGTGTTACAGATCATCACTTCCTATACATGTAGTTTTTTTTTTGCATCCTGGTTCAGCTACTGATAAGGGAGCGAAGGGACACACAATTTGATTAAGAACTTCAACGCGCATGCCTGTGTCCGCGGATGCCTGTGTTCTCGCGCAAGCTATTTTACTGCAGTAAGTGGTAATCGGTAGGCGCCAGTTCTCGTATTTCTTAACAGCATATCTTCTGTGTCTTTATCTGCGACAGCCATGGGCGTTACGATGGGGGTGGGGCCCCGGGAAGAGCAAAAACAAAACAAAACAAAAAAAGGAGGAAAAATATAAAGAGGTGTGAAGTCATATTTGCTATGAAATGAATACACAAACAACATGGTAGTCTTCAGGGTGTCAATGGGGTGGGGTGGGCAAATGTACCCCCGCCCACCCTCGACAAAATGATAAAATGAGAATTATGCTAGAGAAAGTACAAGGATTTCGGGGGGAAATATGCTTTGCCCCCCCCCCCCCAACAATGCTATGGCGATGCCCATTGTGACAGCACTTCATTCCGATTATAAGGATTTCACAATCGTGCGCGCCTGCGTTTCATTAGGGAGGTTTCGCAAGCGAACGGATACGCTTACACTTACGTTTAGCTATCCGTATCCGTCTTTTACTTACGTGTAGCGAGCGAGATATGCGTGTCGTCTGCACGTATGACGTCATACGCCACTCACTATCCGCTAAACGTGCAGACGACACGCATATCTCGCTCGCTACACGTAAGTGAAAAGCGGATACGGATAGCTAAACGTAAGTGTAAGCGTATCCGTTCGTTTGCGAAACCTCCCTATTTTGTTTCAAAGTGCGTCATCAATTTTGTAGTTGCCGACAGGTTCAAATGATATGTTAATGGCTTAAGTAACGCCCAGTTTGTTGGTTCTTTCGTCTGAACACAAAGGATGTTTCATCCACGGAGTCATCATAGAAGGCATGTTGAGACCCGCCATGACAACCAAGTTAATATCAAACTGACTTTTTGGTTATGACCCACAAAGTGGTGGGAAGCCGAGGTATGTTGACCCGAGCGAGACCCTACCGTGTTTTGTTGACACAGAACGGTACTTGAAATGTTTCCATCTACAAAAGTGACTGTCAAAAATTATGTAAGAAAGGTTTGAGTTTTCATTACCCTCGTTTTTGTCAGAAATTCTCCCTTCCAAAAAAAAAAGGGAAACGAGATCCCCTTTCATATCTCTGAAAGTATATTCAGAATACTGTCTGCCTTCACGGGTTTTTGAAAATTGTAAAATGTTCTATTCACCACGCCGAATAGCACACAACGAAGCTTTACAGTTTTCCATTCAGTGTATTTCTGTAATCATGACCAAAAACAATGGAAGTATTGACTGACTTCTACACTCCAAAAAAAAAAAATTAGTCAGATTTGACTAGAAACCAGATAAATTTGTCCAGCTATTCCAGGGTCATCTGGGTGCAACTGAAAATCAGTCAAACTGACATTTTTTCAGTCAGTATTATTGACTACAGGAAAAGTAGTTATTGAAATTTAAAAAAGTGGAATCAAATCCAACTGTAGTAGTATGAAACTTGTTGAACTAAATTCCTAGTCAATTTTTAAAAACTAGAAAAACAATCACTGTTTTGACTTAGTTGTTTTTAGAGTGTAGTTCCACCAACTGAGCTATGTCCTGCAATCGAGTTTGTTTTCCAGTCAAAGCAGAGTGTGTCGTCCAAAACTTACCATGAACACCATGTTGGCGGCTTCCGGGTCCACTTTCGCCCGCAGTTCATTGTGAACATCCAGGAACAGATCTTTCTCCTCCTGTGTCATATTGACAGGTACATAAGTCCCGTTGAAATCCACCTGGGCATTTGCACCTGTCACCGAGAGCAGGAGCAGGAGTAACCCGGGGAAAAAGAGGACAGCTCCGGCGCATGACATCTTGATATCACGGTGCTGGTGAAACTATAAGCCCGTACACAGTTGGCCAGTGGTTTGATAAAGAGGCTTTCGAAATGCATCATGCCATGCACATGCAGGCGCTGCTTTATATGCGGACTTCGTACAGTTTTGGATTGCTTTTTTTGTGTGTTTGTGGGTCAGGCAACTTAGCAATGGGTCTAAAATTCAGACAAAACGATACATGATAAGATACAGACTACACGCAAATCTTGATTTTGAGAGTTTTTTGGTCACATATTTATTATCTGCTATTAGTAACTGAGCAGTGCCTATTAAAATTTTTAAAAGCAATTCATGAAAATGTGCACCTTTGTGCTATTTATAAGCTCTTGTGGTCATTGTATAATCGGTCTCCAAAGGGTGGTTTAGGACAATTTATGCCGGTGCGAATTTCCATATTCTATGAACAATTGACTCAGTCTTGTCTAATAAATTAACATTGCGACCTGCGCAGTTCTCTATTATTATGAAAATCTCTTTTCCACGCCTTATAGTACATAAATATTGCGAGCATCTGGCTTTAGCTTTTATAACACCTCACCCACAGATTCTGTGTCTTGATTGGCCCAGAGCGAGTCACATGTTACTTTCTAATTTTGCTATCTTTCGGTGATCCATGGACCATTCTATTTTCCCTCGAATGGTCCATGGATCACCTCGGGAGGCTAGTTTTACTACACCACTCGAAGCATTCAATATTTGTATAAAAGCCTATGGAATATGCGCTTGCATAGCAAGCGTCTATAATTTATTAATATACGCGCAGATTCTGCAAAACAGTACTGCATCTTGACCTCCTGATTCTGACCTATAACCCGTTATGTATTACAAAAACATGGCAGCCAATATTGGCCAATCAACAGCTCAGCCGAATTTCTGCTCGAAATGACGTCACACACAATTTCGAAAATCGACTCCGCGGATTGTGGCTGGCTTGCGGGGTCGCATAAAATGTGCATGCTCCCATTATGTCCGATGTTGTTGCGAAGCTTCGGCTATATTTGTACCTCGCAGAGATGTTTCGGGCAAAATTCCAAACAATTTATTTCCTTTATCATCTGACACAATGTATTCAGTTGGTGATTGATCGTGTTTGTTTTGACAATGCACACACACGTGCGTTGTGCACGGAATTCATATGCTCATCGGATAAAACCTGACATTTTGGTTGAGTTGTTGTTTTTTCCACTGAGGTCGATGGGGAACAATCTCTCTGATTATACAGCAAGTCAAGAGTCACTGCTAACTATGGAACGTTTACACTGCGACAGAGTTGTAACGAGTCACTGATTTGTGTCACTGATGTGTGACTCGAGTCGAGTAGAGTCAATTTAAAGAAGTGACTCGTGTCGAGTCGAGTCATTAGGTAAAGAAGGTCGAGTCGAGTTACAGTGTGTAGTCAAGTCGAGGCGAGTCGAGTCACGTCAAGTATTAAACTCGAGTCAATTCGAGTCAAAAAATATTTGAACACTATACAATAAATAAACATAAGAGAGAAAGTCATTTTTGGGGGCTTTTTTCAATTTTAAATTCAGGCCATTACATGTGATGACACCACATTTGACTCTTAATAAAGATAAAAAGGGGTGTGCCAGTTGATTGCCGTTCTACTAATGGGGACCCCACCTGTGAAAATGTACATATGATTTGCGAACATTCTAACGTGACGTGACAAAAACCGGCACCGGCGTTAGTCATTGCAAATATTTTTCGCAAAGTTTTGCGTTTATTTTTGGGATTCAAGTCTTTTTAGCCTTCTTCAAGTCGAGTCGAGTCATTCTGATGAGGGATTCGAGTCGAGTTGAGTCATTTACTCGCAGTGACTCGACGAGTCATTCGAGTCGAGAAAAGTGTGACTCGAGTGTGACTCGAGTCGAGTCATTGACTCGAGTCATTACAACTCGGCACTGCAACTATAATATGAGGTGACCTCTTCCGGGTAGATTTCTTGTCCATTATCATTGTTTATGAATTAACACACACTTTAAACATGGCTTCTGCATAGAGCACAAACGTCCGCGTTAAAGGTTAGCACATTCACGGCTTAGCAAGGGTTTTGGCTCGTGCTCAAGCGTAAATGTCGTAATTAAAGATATAGTCCATCATTTGTAATTTGTGCATTTTGTTCGTTTGAAGCAACAAAAGTGTTCAAAATCTAAAGAAGGGTACTGAACAACTAACCTGATGAAGTTTCAGCTCAGCTTCAGCTGTATATTTCGAGAAAAACAACATTCTAGGATCTCAATTTCAAATCAAAAGTTGCTGAATCATGTTTTGAATTGGGCCTAAATTCAGCGTCCGAGACACGTTCTCACTGAGCCGATTGCAGCTGCGATGATTGCAGCTGTCGCGCACTCATCCGACGAATCATAGCAACCGCACGCGCGTGTGCGTCGTGTCAACGCTTGCGCGCGCTTCGCCGAATAAAAAAAAACCCGAACAACTAACAGAAATTTCCAACGGTGCGTCTTAAGATGCACCGTTGGAAAAACCTTTTTTCGTTTATTTCTTCAAAATGACAGCATGCCATAAAGAATAATTTCACAGGGAGTTTAGTTCCCTTACTATCTTTCAACCAAGTATGTTTTTCAACAATTATTATTACGTCAGTTACTTTTTGGATAGCTTCAAATGATGGACTACAGCTTTAAGGATTCTATGCTTACAGGATTCTGTGCTCACAGGAAACCATGCTTACAGGTTTGTATACTAACATGATTGGCAAGCACAAAAATCAAGAGGCTAAACATCAATGTTAACCTGGTAAACATTCGAGGTAATAGGGCCTATCGTTAATGGATAACTCCTCTACGACAGGACAGTAATGCAAGTCATAATGTACTCTAGCTGCTGCATAATTTTTCTTCGACATTTGATGTGGTGTAGTGTTTGGTATTTATTGCCGTTTACTGGCAAATGGTTTGACCTTCGGAGTCTCATCACAGATAAGTTGCCTGATGTCGGGCCTTTTGTAGTAGTTTACGGGCGCAGCTCAACGACCATTAAAATGTGAAGCTGGGGCAATGAATACAAAAATCCACTTGATGGAAAATATTTCCTCTGTTCATTTTCACAATGTGGCCGTATGATCGTTAAAGTCCGAGGCCTCATAAGTCCGAAATTTTGGAACTGAGACGTCGGATTTATGAGGCATTGGACTTGGGGATTCGGCCTCCGACGCCTCATGAGTCCGACGCCTCATAATTCAGACAACGGACAAACGATGTTTCTGACTTATGAGGCATCGGACTTATGAGGCGTCGGATTTATCAGGTGTTGGACCAATGGGGCGTCGGACCTATGGTCGTTGGACTTATGAGGATTGGGGGATGACATTTTGTCGGATTAATGAGGCGTCGGTGCATCGAACTTATGCGCGGACCCCTTTACAATGACAGTGGAAAATAATTTGATGTTTTCACTTTTCAGTGACAACATAAATCTCTTGTGAGTTACAAAATGGTTCGAAGAGAGAGGTATGTATCTCTTCAGACTCAATTTGTCAAACAGGTAAAGTCAAAACTCAAAACTCAACAGGATAACCTAAAAAGATGATGGTGCCACCGCAAACTGATAGCTGACATATATAAGATTCATAATGTATCTTAGCAGTGGAGAGGAAAATATTGGTATGTAAAAACAAAATCAGGACAATTATAAGATGGATTTCCATGCATCTTATAATAGTTTATGCAGTACCCACTGCTATGTACATCAGATTCGAACCAGGCAACCGATCCCGTTAGCTCAGTGGTTGAGTGGTAAGACGTCTGCACTAGAAAGCAGGAGGTCGTAGGTTCGAGTCCCACCCGAGTGATTTTTTCCAACTTTCACTCGGGAGGTAACACAATGAGTATACAGTGTTTAAACGTTGTTGAAGGGCAAAACCTAGTTTGATTTAAAATCAGGACAACTTTACCAATAAGCGGCGATCTGAGTAACGTCATCAGAAAAAAAACAAGGGGCGTGAATGTAGTCCTATAAGCCATCAGCTCTTGCTGCCTTTATGGTTAAATCATTGCTGTTCAGTTTTATAATGGCAGCGCATTGTCCACCGTGCATGTGAACGAACCTTGAACTTTTAAGTATTGGGTATAAAAAGTCGTTTGCGATTAGCTCAGGGTAATAACCCTTCAGATTTGCCCACAAAATTGTCTCAACCTTAGACCCCAGGATTGGATATAGCTACGATGTAAATGCGTCCCATTGTCTCGAGCAACTTTTCTGAGGGTAAACCGTAAAATATCATCAGTGTTTGGACTATACTCTCTTCTTGTACCATTTCTGGACTAATAATAATAATAAGGAGCAACTTCGATATGATATCAGTTAACTTTTATTTCATTATCTTCGCTTATTCGCACGGGTGTCACCACCCCCCCCCTCCCAAGTCAGTTTTTTCGGCGAAATCGTGGTGCTTTCTGCAAAATAGAAAATGAAGAATGGAGAAAGAAGGGGAAAGGAAGAGGGAAGAAGAAAGAATGGAGAATGACACCAATAAACACCGCTGCTCAAAACCCCGCGAAGCTAAAAGCCTGTTCTGCAACCCATGGCAAAAGATTGTTCATTCTGTCATGTCGGCACGAGCTGCCGCGCGAGGTCGCTTCATATACATTGGTTGACAGTTACGGCTGTGCGAAAAAAACATGATTTTCTTTTTCAATATTTGAAAGAAAAAGCTCTCAACTTTAATCTGATTCAAAAAACATAAAAATCCACAGATCCCTTTTTGTTAATGCAAATGTTTTAGGGTTGCATTTTGGGGGTCCCCCTTTATTTGTCTGAAACAGGGAGCGTGTTGCACGGGTGCGGTGCGACGTGGCGACGGCTGGTCTGGTCTGGGGAGGGTAGCGTCAGGGCACCCGGTGCACCGCGGTTGGACAAATAATCACCGGACAGCGTTGAGAAGAAAGACGTGCATGCAGCGGGCTTATCAGAAATGCCGAGGAAATATCTGATTCTTCAATACCGTATTTGATCAGATTTTTAAGGCAGGAATTGAAACAGCAAAAACAATTCAAACAAGGCGTTGTGTACATAGATAGGCTTGGATCTATTTCATTTTCCGTGACTTGTTGCCGTCAGCCATACCAAAAAAAGGGTGCACTTGAAAAGTTCTTTGTGAGCTGCTGACGGTAGGCCTATAGGCCCGACCCGTCACGACCCCCAGGACCTGAAACACACAAGCAATTTATCTTCGGTGAATACAGGGGGTTTGTCCACCGTATCGGGGCAACTGAATGCCGGCTGTTACAGCTGGCAAAGGCACATTCAACACCTGAAACAGAACTGTCACAAGTGTCAATCGAATGTGTCCAAAAGGCAAACCCCTGCGTTGCTAATGGTGGGTGCTTTCATAGGACGAAGACATTCCTGTATTATTTCACCTTTGACAGCAGGGACCATTAATGATTAACATTTCCTGTGTAATGAAACAGATCACAAACAGCTTCGCAAGACAATCATTTTTAATAGTTTATCAACATATATGGAATCGTATGCAGACTAGAGTAGCAAACTCAACACTACTTCGAGGGCGCGTTTTTACCACTTTTGAGAGCCCCGTTGACGGGACACACAGCGTGTGCGTACTGTACTGGTTCGAGCGCGAAGTGCGCACGACTTCCTGAATGTGCAAAAGCTCCCAGACTAATCCCCGCCCCCGATAACTTTGGATCGTTCGAAATACGCAGTGGATGGACCGGGAACCAGTCTAGGTCTCCCCCAACTCTCCTTTACTGGCCGATGAAGGGGTACTTGTGCACGCAACCCACACACACGGACTAGACTCCGAATTTGTGTTTTTCAGGGCGCGTTTGTCTGGTCTTATAAACATTAATATGGAATCGTGTTTGATATTTTTTTTCACATTTCCACAAACCTTGTTTCCACCAAAAATACTGAAAACATTGGGGGGGGGGTTCTCGAGAGTGGCATTTTGAGACCTCGAGATGTACTTCTATTAAGCGTTTTGTCCTATACGGACATAAAAATACGCAAATACACAACAGACTCAAACAGACTTTTTTAAAAGACGCCTAAACGCCTACTGGCTTTAATGAGTAGACGAGTTGCAATTTCTTGTGGGCAGATGCGGTCAAGAGAATGCGAAATAGAAATGTTGTACCCGTCCTGGTCATTTATTTTGGCACACTACTCGTTTCGATTCTTAAGAAATGTAAGACTAGGATGTATCTCGCACGAGTCAGTAAACAAATACAGAGTGTACACAATTTTAGGTTACAGGAACAAACTCAACACTATACACACGGACTAGACTCAGAATTTTTGCCTTTCAGGGCGCGTCTGGTCTTATACCTGTTAGTATTCTAATCTCAGCCATCCTTTCGCACAATGATCATTATCAGGAACACAATACTATCTGAGTATTGTCGTGTAAGCCTGCTAACCAAACACTCGCCCACAATGTCAAGTTTTATGCAGGTACTATCAGCTGCCCTTCTACGTGAGGGTATGCCAATAGGCGTTATCAGATTAGGCGCTATCTTGTTCACAAACTGCAGACCGGGCTGTACTTTGCCCCGGTTTCGGACCAAGACCTGAAATTTTGTAGTTTGTTCGCCCGCTCCCTGGTTCCCCTAAGTGCATGTGCAGCCAGTCCCCGGCAAGTGTGGCCACAGCCGCTGTGGTGGTAGAGGGCGCTATAAAAGGGACGTAATTCATCAGATTAGCTCGCCCCCATCGCCCTGTTCGAGATAGAGGGGCGGCAGAGACGAGCAAATTCATCCGATGAATGTTGACAGCGACCTCTACTCCCGCGGCTGCTTGACCGCGCTGCATTACTAGGCTGCATATAAAGAAAATCTGGATCAAGACTTAGGGGGGCCTATTAGAAGAAAAAAATCAATACTGTTATTTATTCAATTCTTTTGTCACGTAGCCCGGCCACATCTCCCCTCGCTGTAGCTTCTTTGTACCTTATTGTTGCAGTAATTCTCTTTCATTCCAGAAGGTCATTCCAGCAAAACTACGCCTTTCAGAAAGCAGAAAAGATCAACATGAGGCCTCAACCCTGAATGGTTCCTTAATGCGCCCGCTTATCTAGAACATAGACAGCTCGGCCATCTTCTTGGACAAGACTCTATCTGCAGTAGTAAGGCGCCTCTTCTTAACATCATACGCTTCGGCCGCATACATACATACCATTTTGCAGTCATCAGGCTTGGCGAGAATAAAAAACAACACAGGCTTATCATTCGGGTAAGACTAGATCTCATTCGACGCTAGGAGCGCTCTCTATTCCATGTTATTTTTCTTTATAACACAAATCCTTCAAGAAGAAATGGGATGCTTTTGAGCATTAATTTTAAAACAGTCGTCTTCACTCTCACCTCCCCCTCCAGGATCCGCCCTAGACTAACTACAGACGTCTTTACCACTCGTTTCCGCTGGCTGGCTCACTACAGGAAGTCGGGTAAACGTGAGGTGAAAGTAAGTTCACAATTCTTGTGTCATTTACAAAGAAACGACTGTTCAGGCGTTGATTTTCGTAATTCTACATATCTGAGTTCATTCAGTATTACAGTAATTACATGTATAACAACATTTAGGCCCGGTTCGTGAGCAGTTGTGTTGCTACATATAGTTTTGTGCGTGAAACAAAATGGGTTTTATACATGGACACAGCCCTGTTCAAAATTCAGACGAATCAATATGGTAGGTTTATACATTCGCAAGGTGATCGACGACAAAAGAGCATATTGCTCACTGGCCATATATCAAAGCTCTTGGTAATAAGAAGTCCATCGGATGTCTTACATGGAAAATATGTTAGAAAACCTCGTTTGTGTAGCCTAGGCCTACATCTGAGCGGACGCGGAAACCCATACTTTAGTCAAGCTACTTCCTCCTAGCAACATAATAAGCCTTTTTTCATCTAACCTAGCTCACCCCCTTTTTCAGGATTACTCTCAATTGAATTATAATAAAAAGCCGTATTCTCTTTGAGCGATCCCCGTTTGCTATTTCCCATGTCAGCGCCACTTGAACAAAGATCACTTATACTGATGTATAAATTCTTATACCGTATATAAAATGCTGCTGTGAAAAACCAGGTGGAGCAATGGCCAGGACGGCGTCCGTCTGTGAGCTTCTAGATCGGTGATATTATAAATGGCAAATTAGCCTCCTTGAATTTTAAATATCAGCAATGGCAGCGAACATAAAGTCCTTAAAGGTTTCGAAAAAACTTGATCCATGCCTAAATCCGGTGACAGATATGGATCGAGTCCCAGTTGACCTGGGCAAAAGTTTCAAAAAGAACTGATTTGTCAGCCACTGTACTGGTAACATGTACGATTCATATATTTTTTGTCAACGGATGTTGCTAATAGACCATTATCATGTTGCGGCTATCTTGATTTTTTTCCCATTCAAATCAACGTAATCAAAGCGAGGCTGGAAGGAGAAATAGTCTGGTTCCTTTTTGCACAAAAATCATTATCATTCGGTACTGCTATTGGATACAAGGGAACATGACTGAAATGGTGGCAGCATGATAAAGGTTTATTGAAAAAAAAATCCGTTGTGATCGCTCAGCCCTTAACCAGGTGTAGGGAAAATCTCAGATTGGCCGAATCAGGTCAGTCACACAAAAAAATATTAAGTCCAGCGGACTACATTCTAATTGCCGCACCGATCCTTTTCTTCTTGAAATCACATATTTTTTAACAGAATTGCGTATCCAAATTTTCGCCAAGCTCAGTTTACCCATGGACGAACTATGGTATATATATATAGAGAGAATGTGTATGCTATGCAGAACTGTAAGATTCTCAGACTCAACGATTTCTCCAGGAACCTTTTGTAAATATAAGTTTAATCCAGGCTTGAATCAAGACTAGACTAACTACACAATCGATGTTCGATGGCCTTTCGATCGATAATATAAAAGCTCGTTTGTGTTGTGTGTTCTGCCAAACAGTGATGTAGAAACGTACAGTGTATAAAGTGCCGCTGAACTGTGGTGTTGTAGGCCATGATAGACGGTAGACCTACAAAACATTGTAGGTCTATCAGTTAAAAAAAAAAACACTCCATATTCACGTGAGCTATTGACGGAGTTAAGGCTAGCCGTATATGCGCATATTTTAGAAGAAGTTACTATAGTTAGTCCTCATTGACTCGAGCACCCGCTGCTTTTGTCAACTGTTGTCGCGGGGATGATGGAGCTTTTGGACGGCCGATGGCTGCTCGACACACGGTCAGCACTTCTCGGAGTTGTCGTGTTTGTACTGTTGTTCCGGTATCTGCGTGGCGGGCGCCGGTGGAATCTCCCCCCGGGACCCAGTGGCTGGCCGTTGCTGGGCTATCTTCCTCAACTCGCCTTTTCGGGAGACGATCCGCATGTAGCGTTATCAAAGCTGGCCTCAAGGTACGTACTACTAGCTCGTGACTCGTCATTATCCTCTGTCATTCTTGTGCGATAGACCTAGTTTAAGTAAAAACATTTTACTAAAAAAGGTTTCACTGATTTTTTTAAAAAGCCTTTTTAACTAAAAAGTATCATGATTGCTTGAAAATGTAATCGTTCGTATAATTGGAATGGAACTATTATCGCCAGTTAATAATGAACCCTAATCATGTTCAACAACTCCGTCAACATGCGGTTCTGCGCGTAATCCGAATGAACCTTCGAGGGTTAGGGAAATTGTTTACAATGTACTTCATTTTGATAATTTAAACTGTTTATTAGTAGCCATAATAATAAGTGACGGGGAAAATCATTGCAATTGCATATTTTATCTCTGATTCTAAAATATAGAAGTTTGAATATTTAATTTACGAAACCTGTTTGTCCACAGAGGTACATGTACATTCCATCCACTTGACTGAGCTCAGCTTTCTGAGCTTGATTGGAAGACGAAATAGTATAGCACACTTGAAACCAGGATTTTGTTTGAAACAACCATCATAGGCCTATTTGATTTTGTGTTATGTAATTTTATGCAACAATTAATTTATGGCTATACAGCTCCCTGGGTAGATGATCTTAACACTGACATGAATAATCGGACAGCCTCAATAAAAGTTACCAGTCGAAACATTTTGTGCACAGTACAAAAAAGTCCAAGTATGTTTATGCCGTGGACGGGACTCACATCGTATGCGTATACTATACTGGTATGCGCGCGAAGTACGCACGACATCCTGAATTTGCCAAGGCTATAGCCACCATAGATATCAGAAGAATGAATATCTATGTTAGCCAGACTAATCCCCGCCCCAATAACTTTGGATCATTTGACATACGCATTGGATAGACCGGGAACCTGTCTATAGGTCCTCCCCAACTGTCCTTTTCTGACCGTTGAAGGGCTACTTGTGCACTGAGGCCATAGACAATCCGAGCATGCTTTCAATTTTATCACGGAGACCCCCTTCAATGGCGAAGGCATATTGTGCTTGCCCTTGTTCAGACACGGGACCGAATTTTGCTTGGTATAATTATAACAACATGCACAAAGGTTTCTACAACTGAATAAAGGGGCCGCGTGAGTGAGTGATCATGTGTCAGGACTTTAGTCTGGTTCCCCGACCTGACAATTTCCCCCGACGTCTACACGTCTAAATTGTAGGTCAGGCAGCCTCCGTGGCTAAAAATAATCATGACGACATTGACGGCCCTTTTTCAAAGCTCGACTTCGTTTCCGAATTCGCTTTATCACATAAAGCTTTTAATGTTCTGATAATTTTTTTAAAAATAAATCACTTGCTTCATATATCATACAGTTATGATATACAGTTTAATACTTCTGTAAAAAAACATTGACTAATTTTAACCTGGAATCTTCAAAGTTGGACACCCAAACAGCACTGTTAGCAGGCGGAGCCGAATTGAGACCACGCCGCGTTTTGGAAAATGCCGGTAACGGTCGTCAAATTCAAACTAGTGCATGACGCAGCAAAAAGTTCGCCCCTCGCATACGATCCGAGTGCAAAATCGTCGTTGAATTTCAAGTTTTCTAAATAAAAGCAATGGGTATTAATTATCAACTAGTTTTTTAAAGTTTTTAATAAGCAATTAGCAGTTAATTAAACCTATATTATACTCGGAAATACTCGGACACTATCCGATTGTCGACGAAATGAATTCGGTAAACTTCGGACAGTTTCGGAAAAAGGAGGAATTCCTCCCGTTTTAGTCACGTGATGTAAATTGTAATACATTGTATTACCGGAGGCTACCTGACCTAAGATTTATCAGGAATAGTCGGAATCTTTTGGTCTGGGAACCAGACTATCAGGACTTGTCTTTAATAGCCCACCTTGCGAGCGATGAAAGATAGTCTTCAAACAAACTTGAATAACTAAATATGAACAACATAATGGTCAATTGACAGATACGGCAATGTCATCAGCATGAATTTGGCGGGACATTTGGTGGTGGTCTTGCACGGCTACGACACCATAAAAGAGGCCTTCAGTCAGCAGCAGCTCAGCGCCAGACCCCGGCTGTACACCAGCGAGAAGGTTCGGCCTGGTGTGGGTAAGATTTTTAAAAATCTGGAAACGAAACTCATTATTGGCCACTGTGTACTGTATTATGCGTTTGAAGCTACAATCCCAGCCAAAATGGTTGGGACACTTCCTGAGCCTGCCACGGTCACCCACTCCCCCGCTCCCCTGGTCAATGTTGTTCTCTCCAGCTGATGGAGCACACACCGCGCAATGAGAGACAACATTGAGTGGGGCTGGGGTTGGGGGCCCAGCGAGATTTGTCCGGGATTGTAGCTTCGCGCTGGTTCAAAATCTCTCGATTCGAATATGGTACGGGACTCCCATCGTATATTTATAATAAAACAAAGCAAAGTTAAGCAAGATTTGTATATACTAATACATTGTGATGGGAGTGGTAATATGGCACACGGTGACGTTTATGACCCAGGCTATTTTTCGTAAACCCCTGTGGGACACATACGTTTGCTGCGCGCCCTCCTTCGTTTGACAATTGATTACAAATCTGGTGACCATAATTCTAAGTTAACAGCCAAAAAAACCTCTTTATAGATTAACTCACATGGCAAATTCTTAGCTTAGTCAAACATTCTTATCTTAATAAAACTATTAGCTTATGAAATTTGTTTAGCTTTATAACAAAAACTAAACAAAAGAGGAGGTGGAGGAGACTTCACATGCATTTTTATCGTGCTCGCAGGTGTGATCACTTCATCTGGAGACACTTGGACGGAGCTACGGAGGTTCGCCTTGACCGTCTTGAGGGGGCTGGGCGTGGGCAAGTCGATCTTCGAGGACAACATCGCCACGGAGGCAGAGTTCTTGATGGAGGAGTGGAAGAAGCACGAAGGAACAGCGTTCAACCCTCGGCACTCCATAGCCAACGCCGTGTCCAACGTCATCTGCTCAGCCGTCTTCGGTCGTCGGTTCCAGTACACCGACGCGGTCTTCAGGTAGTCTGGGTCCCGGATAACAAGATGTCTGACTATTCCGACAAAAAAATTATCACAATTTCGGCTAGGCGCACGTAATAATATCCATGTGACCAAAATGGACACAATCCTGACCCCAGCTGCCTGTTTCCGAAAGTGATCGAAGTTTTCCGAATGCGTTTTTGTTGACACTCGGAAATGCTCGCGATTACTCGGATATTTCCTTTTTACTGAGAAATCACAATACTTTTTTGAAGTTGGCGTATTTACCATTGGTGACTATATGTAAGATCTTATTTACTTGTCTGCACCTTTCAGGCGTCTCCTCAAATGCAACGATGACATCGCTGAGGGAGCCGGCACCGGGGGCGCCCTCGAATTCTCGTGGTTCATCTCGCGGCTCACCTTCCTGCCGTTCGTGAGCAAGTACGTAGCGTCTGTCCGGCAGTCGTACAACACGATCAGCTCCATGGTTCGGGAGCACAATCGAGACTACGACTCTCAGGACCTTCGAGACTTCATCGATGCCTTCCTAAAGAAGAAAGAGGTAAAGGAGAAAATAAATGGCATAGGTCGGCACAGGAATTAGCATCCGGACCGTTTGGGGGTTATACATTATGGGTTAAGTACTAATTAATTGCTAATCTGTATAGTTTTAGTTGTTAACATACCTTTCATATGGTTCTCGCCTTGACACACAATGACCCGGCCGCGCTACGTCCAGGTACTGGAAAGTCAGCGTTGCCATTGTAGCATGCAAATACCGTATAGCACCGCATGCAGCATATAGGCAGTATAAGCAAGCCTTCAAAAATGTGATGGATGGCAAAAACTGCATGTGAGAAAAGCGCGGAGCGAACACAGTGCTGGGTAGGTTCGAACCGTACACGGCTCGGGTACAGTGACCATTATGAAATGACAAAGAATTCACGGCAATTTTATACATGAAAATAAGTCTACAGTTTACAACGCTCGACAAGGCGCTAACCAGATACTTGTCAACTGCATGGTGCCCGATGGTTACATTTCTATAGTCCGACGTCCCATTGGTTCGACGTCCCATTGGTCCGACGTCCCATGTCCGACGTCCCATTGGTCCGACGTTCCACTGGTTCAGGTTGAATGACCCTAACCCTATAAACCGTCGGACCAATGGGACTTCGGACCAATGCCCCGTCGAACCAATGGAATGTCGGACCAATTGGACGTCGGACCAATGCAATGGGATGTCGGACTATAGAGACGTCCCCGCCCCGTTCCCGATCATGGGAAACCCGAATGAATATCGTGATACTTTGACGTCAAACGACCAGGCTCAATACCTTTCCTTTGAATTGAATTGAATTGAATTGAAGGAACAACAGGGCTCATCATCGTCTGTGTTCCTTGACGAGAATCTGATGAATGTGGTCGGGGACCTTTTCTTCGCTGGGAGCGAGACTACGACGACCACTCTCCGCTGGATGCTTCTCTACATGATGCTAAACCCAGAGGTGCAGACCCGGGTGCAGAGAGAACTGGATGACGTCACCGGACGCAATCGGTTCCCGAGGGTGAGCGACAAGCCGCAGCTTCCGTACACGGAGGCAGTGATCTGCGAGCTACAGCGGGTAGCCACCATAGCGCCCCTCGCAGTCCCGCATTCTTGTAGTGAGGACACCAAGATACTGGGGTAGGTATAATTCATTCAATCATTTTGTTCATTCACTTCGTGATGAGTTGGTCCCAACTGTCCCTGTCAAGTATAGTGTTGGAAAGAGATGGACCACAAATGAGTGTACGAATTATCGTTTCAGATATGACGTACCAAAGGGCACCATTCTTGTCTCCAACCTGTGGTATGACCACTTCGACCCTACGATATGGGAAGATCCAACGGCATTTCGACCGGAGCGATTCCTGGACCCAGACGGCAAGCTAGTCAGTCGTGAGGAGCTCAACCCGTTTGGAATAGGTGAGAAAGAAATGTATTGCGGTTGAATTGTTGCGAAGAACTTGTCTTCATGTGCCCAGAGCCTTTCTATTGAAAAGCCACGTACAGCTCAAGATTTCTTCATACCCGAAAGCTTCATACTGCTTCATACCGCAGCGTTCGTTTAGCCTCATGTAGCCCCGTGTAAGAACGGGGAAGCGAAGGCCAAAAATATATACTCGGTCTCTGGTCAGACCAAAGTTCGTTTAGCCTCATGTAACCCCGTGTAAGAACGGGGAAGCGAAGGCCAAAAAAAATACTCGGTCTCTGGTCAGACCAAAATTCCGGAATTGATGCGGCGACGCGTTATTTTTTTTTTCAAGCTTGGATTGTACAGACAAGGTGGGGTACTATTTTGTTTTTCTTGTGTTCTCATGTACATTGGTTTCTTCCATAATTTGCCTTGGTGCACTCGATCATTTGCCTTGGTGCAATTTCCATTCCTTGGTGCTCCTTGGTACAAAAATTTGAGGAGGTGCGGCAAAAGAGGGCGCTGTTGGAGCTACGCGCGCTGACCAGAGACCGACTTTTTTTGTGCCTAATTGAACGCGCCCAGTGGCGCTCACGTGTGAAACTGCTGTGGTATGAAGAGACCAACATATACAGCAGTCCAAATACATGTACCATGTGACACCGGTCTAGCTTAATGAAGTAAATAATTATGTCAATAATTATGGACGCATGTGATTGGGAATGTTGAGACCCTTTTCTCTTTTAATGAAAAGGCTGCGTGTGGATACTTGGAGTCATTATTTATTGTGTGACTTCATCTTTGTAGGCCGGCGCATCTGTCTCGGAGAGCACTTGGCCAGGATGGAGCTCTTCATCTTCTTCACCCGTCTCCTGCATCACTTCACCTTCAAGAAACCCGAGGATGCTCCTCCCTTGTCACTCAACGGAATCAGCGGTGGCACCTGGTCACCTGTGAACTTCCAAGTTTGTGCCATGTCACGGTCGTGAGACTGCTATAATAAGTACAACATTGTTCTGATTAGGCCTATTGTACCGTTGGGACGGATAACCGTGTACCCGATACTCGACTGAAATTGTGTGGTATATACCATAAATCAGTGAGGTAGTGCCTTGAATGCAATTTGAACAGAAACTTTGAACAGAAACCCCCAAATGAACAGTGTCTTCCTGAAATGACATCACAGCAACATCACCCTCATTATTTTGTCACGCAAAGCATGGGAAGTTTTTCAAATGTTTTAAAACTTGCACTTTTCAATAAAATTAACCCAAATGGGATGTCATTTTTTTTTTATATAATTTAAGAGGAGTAGAAAGTTGTACAAATTGTGTTTCTTATAATTCATCGAATGGACCTTTTGATACCTGCGATTCGTGATGATGCGGCTGGTTTTATATTAGAAGTCATTTTATATAACAGGGCCATGGCCTTGAGGGTTAAACCTTGGCCTTAGTCTTAAATTTGTGTTCTGGATCCGCCCTTGCTTACATGTTCATGGACATAATATAAAATGGCATTTTAAATGTGATATGCAAGAAGTTGGTTATTAAATTTACCCGTTGAAATTTTGTTTTCTGTTTCGACTATTGAAGGCGAATTGGCATTTTAAATGTGATATGCAAGAAGTTCGTTATTAAATTTACCCGTTGAATTTTGTTTTCTGTTTCGACTATTGAAGGCGAATTGAGATTAAAAGACTTCTTTACTCCTACGATATTTTAGCGGTGCGTTATTTAGAATTTTTTTCTGCCTGTATTCCGCAGGTACGGGTGCATATCATGAAAGTGATTTGTGTCAGTCAGAGATTTAGACGTGACTAATCCATGTGAAAACATGGGAGGAATATCTGGTCTAACCTTTGGAACAATATAGATTATGGAAATTTACATTTGACGGGCTGGATAGCTCAGATGGTAGAGGACTGGAACGGTAATCTGAAGGTCGCAGGTTCAAACCCCGCTCCACTGCAGTCAATTTCTTTGTTTCAGCTTTTCAAAACATTCACCTAATCAGTTTCCCTTTGTGGATCATTTGAAAATTTTATTTTCCATTGAATTTCAACATTTCCTAAACCAACAATTCCGCCCAAATGTTGATATGAAAAGCTAGAAGGGTTCAAATGTATTGCTTTTGTTGAGCTTTTTGGGCGGTGTACTCAGTATACGTGTAAATAGTCAAGAATAAAACTCGTTTGGCCCGACCCACAAGAAGTGCCGATAACGTTATTATCCAACAGCGATTATAACAGCGATATCCGACCGGCGCGATTAGAACGACAGAGGACGCAATTAAGTCGCCTTTGATCGTGCACAGTGAGAATTTCTACGCGAGCTCATGATTGGCATGAATAGTGTCCCACAACTTTTTTTGGAAAAAGGAGACCATTTGGCTTTTAAACAAACGGTGGAATTGCGTAAATATAGTCGAGGATCAATTCCCTGTTTTGGGGCTTCCATCAGAGCGGGCAGGCTTAATAAAATTACGGTTGGAATATGGGTCCTATATATTGCCTGAAAAAGTGAAGGGATGCATGCCATGGCTGCACGAAGGCTTGGGTCTTGGCCGACAAGCAAAACGAAAGTTAATATAGCAATTGAAAACAAACCCGTAATGCTGTGTATTCCTCGTATTGAAATAATAGTATTTATTTCTTCATCCGATCCAATGAAAGGGGAGGGGGTTTCGATTCACCATTTGGAAAAGTCCAAAATACACTGCCGAAATAGATATACATGCGTCTGGCACTACTTTTAAACATAATTATTGTCGTAAAAGCTGGTATCTTAAAATGTCTATATAAAACCCCTTACACTGGAGGTTTGTGTAGAAAATATCAGACGGTTATTATTACTCCCCATCACGCTCAATAAGTAGGCATCGACGGCAAGCCTCTTAGTTAAGACAGGATCAAGGTACCAACTTTTACGACAATGTGGTAAATTAATGTGTATTGCGTTATTTCGCTAAAACTACGTAGGCCTACTGCTTTATTACGAAAAATGAATTGCTTCCCTTCTCAACCAAATCATGTGAAATCGGTTACTTAAACCTGGCACGATTGGGCTTCCAACGACTTCCGGCCATGCCGATATACTACAACTGTGCATTAACTCGCAGGGTTATTGACCTCAGACAATAGGTGGTACGTCGTGGCTTAATTTGTCTCACGTTATGATAATTTTACTTAGCGGGATCGACGTACATGTTTTGTTTTTCCTTGACATCTAGCTGCAGAGTACCGTGACGCACGTATACATGTAGTAGTGCACACCTGCACACAAACCTGCGCCTGCCCTATTATGAGTTTATCATGTGCCTCTTGCAAACCCGCCTATATATATATATACATAGTTCCTAGCTTTTCCTAGTATTTATGTGTGGCAAATGTGAACTTCAATAGTTGGACTTTCACCGATATGCGGTGCAAGTTACCTTTGACTTACTGAACACTCACATGATGTCAACCTCGTCCCCATGGCGTTTAACACTACGCTGCCACTAGCTGAAATAGGCCTTTGGAACGAGGTTGACTGATATCTGACCTCACGGCTTTTTATAGCCGTGCCTATTGTGGGTGAGGGTGCATCCAGGAATATGGCCTTATTGTGTCAATCGTGGTGCTCATTGAACTTGAACGTGTGTGTGTGTGCACACTGTCAACAACCAGACCGGGAAATAGGGCTATATAAAGCCATGTGTAATAACAGGTTGTGCCATGTCGTTGGTGGGTTACTGGCTAAAGCAAGGTTTGTGTTTATTTCACGATTCCCCTTGTGAATGCCAAGGCTGAGGCTGCTTTCTATCATTATAAGGTAAGTCTAGGGATATCTGATGTGCATTTTGAACGTGATGTTTCTGTCTTCAGAGCGTAAAATCATGATATTTGTCTCACAAACCGACTGATATCTTTCGTGTATTCATATCTTGTTTACTCCCCCATAAACCTTTTCACAGTATCACCTACCCACATATTCAAAGCTACATTGGGACCACCGCAATTGGAACCTGGTCCCATCCAATATAGGCAAGGTGTCGCTATCACATTTAACTTGGCCGTGTACAAGGGTCGGGCTGTGTAGAGTTTTGATTTTCTACCCGGTAATTCCCGGCCGGGTAGAGCCTTACAACCCTGGTCCTGACCTAGCTGGAGTTACCCAGCCCTGAGTTTTATCATTGGGTTGTCTATTAGGGCTGGAGCGCATTTTTCTCAAAACTTGTAGTATTTGCAAAAAAAAATTGGAAAATGTTCAATTTTGTCCCCGTTACACACTAATTGCAACTGCAACTCACCCCAAACTTGCCTGGAATAACCATTACACAGGTCCTTGAAGTAAAAAACGATCCACGATGAAGATTCAGCCTACAATTGCAGTGAAAACAGGAGGAATAACCGCTAACTTGACAACCTTGCTGGATTGGCCAGGACCGCTATTGGTTTGTGCACAAAAAAATTGTGTACAATGAATGGCGGTCGATTAACAGGCACAGAGAGCGATCGCTGTCAACTACTCGTTTTTGCCGGCTCGCTGGCTGTTGGCGCATGACGTCACGCGGAAGCGTAACACCCGATGACTGTTTCATGCACTATTGGTTGCGGTTCCAGTACCAAAGCTGTGATGCGAGTGGTAAACCTTATACTAGTGCATGAAACAGTCATGAAAGGTTGTCAAGTTAGCGGTTATTCCTCCTGTTTTCACTGCAATTGTAGGCTGAATCTTCATCGTGGATCGTTTTTTACTTCAAAGACCTGTGTAATGGTTATTCCAGGCAAGTTTGGGGTGAGTTGCAGTTGCAATTAGTGTGTAACGGGGACAAAATTGAACATTTTCCAATTTTTTTTTGCAAATACTACAAGTTTTGAGAAAAATGCGCTCCAGCCCTAATAGACAACCCAATGATAAAACTCAGGGCTGGGTAACTCCAGCTAGTCCTGACCATGGTTTCACCCATAGAGCGCCGGATCGACCCGGGTAGAAGCCGTGTTGGATTCGTGAAAGGAATTCCCGAAATCTCCGTGTTGGACCTAGTCCATGGAATATCACAGCAAGGGGCTATGATTATGCGAGCAGATTCGGCGATTAAGCCATTTATGCAAAAACAAGACTACGTTTTGACCTCGAGATTCTGACCATTCAGTGGGTGCCTTCTACAGGTCTTCGATAACCCGTTGTTGTATTACAAAAACATGGTAGCCAAATTGACCAATCAATTAACGGCTTAGTCCACATTTCTGAGCGAACCGACGTCACAATTTCTGAAGTCGACTCTGAGGATTTTGATTGGGGGTACGAGTGAAAATGGTACAAAAAATATTGGTAAACGCGATGTACTATAAGAACCTAGGACTCTACCATCGCTCGACCATGTCCAAATGTAAAAAAAAAAGCGATTCGTAGACTCCTAGACGTTGGTTATAGAGAGGGCTCCGTTTAACGGATGATCCTCAAACTATGTTGGCCCACCTGGAGAATGTATATAGTCTGAAAGGCCCGAATGTAGCTTATCAGCTTATACACCTTTATCATGCTGCCACCATTTCAGTCATGTTCCCTGTATCCAAAACAGTACCGAATAACTTTTTTTGGTGCAAAAAAAGGAACCAGACTATTTTTCCTTCCAGCCTCGCTTTTGCTTACCTTGATTTGAGTAGGGCCGCAACATGATAATGGTCCATTCAGCCGTGAATAGACAGAATAGAAGCGACCAACTAAACTCGATAAAATCAAAATCATTTCTTTGTGCTCCTCGGTCGTGAAACATGTCATCCACCTTGTGATTTCATTTGTATATTTTCTGAAGATTTAGGAATGGGTCTCCTGGAATTCTTCACTCTGACTCCGGTCACAGTCAAACTTCTCGTCGCAACTGCAGCGCTGTTCTTAATGTGAGTACATGTGTAAATCAGAACTTCCCGATTTTCAATCTCTTTCTTGGTTGTTTTCAGTTTTTCTTTTTCCTCTTAATTTAATTGCAATCTTTTCTGTATTTTTACACCAAAAAAAAACTATATAAGGCCCAATTAATTTATGTGCATTCACAAAATATTCAAAACGTCAGTTATATCCTGAAGACACTCATGCTTGTCAAAATGTTACCAAGCAATTTACTTCGGGACCTTTACTGCACATCGATGAGTCCACATCGCTAAAAAAAAATTTCAATTCGGCGAACACTGAGATTATAATGATCTGCTGACACAAAAATACGAATCAGCTCGAAAGTTCATTGATTATAGATCTCAACACCCGTCTGACCTTTTGAACACAACACACACTAAAAATCCAACCTTAATTTTCTACTAGAACTCCGATCGTCACCAACAGATGAAAACGATAAAAGACGACTTTTTTTGTGTGGTGATCAAACGTTAAAGACAAGAGTTTAGAAAATTAAGGATTAGATTTTGAAACTATAGTTCAGTTTTCGGTGCTGAGGTTATAAAAAAAATGCTCCCCAAGGTGCCTCTCCCCCCCCCCCCAAAAAAAAAAAACCCGTTAAACCCGACATTTGCCGCTTGCCAAGGAAGTGTCTTTTTAAAGTATCTTTTTAATTAATTAAACAGAAGATGAATGTAGAGGAATATTTTTTACTAAATTATGATCACCCTAAATTCACTTGACCCTACAGCTTATGAAATTCGAATAAAGTGTTAAGAAAAAATCGCCCTCTAGTAAAGGTTTTCTCGGCTATTTAAAAAAATTCATTTAAATGCACCAAATCTAACATTCAAATTCGTCCGAGAACAATTTCAAACGCTTTTAACAAAACCAATTTGGTCATTTACCATTTAAAGTTTGGTCACCCTCTCTAGTCAGCGGGTCGAGAATATGTGTCATTACAGATCAAATTCGTCTAAGCTGTTGCCGAGTGGCAGCCTTCAGAGATCGAATTCGTCTTATATAAATCAATTAGACGAATGTGATTTCTGAATAACAAGGTTCGGCGTAGACGAGACGAAATCGAATACTCCGGGACGAAAACGTGTGCTCATTGTTTGAATTTGCTTGAACTGAATTTGAAATTGTACAACAAAAGACGAAATTAAACGTTGGAAGAGCGCTAAATCGGTGTTGATCGACGAATTGGAATCAGAAACGGTGAATTCGAATAAATGTTTTTAAATAGCCGGGAAACCGTCAAAAGAGGCCCAAAAGCCCCCCCCCCCCCCCCCCACTTACCGCTTTTCGAAATTGCAGTACTTGCGTGGCCAGTCGGTGCCCTGGAAATTTTTGGGAAATGTTCTTGTGGGCCCGTCTTTTGGTGCCCCCCCCCCCCCCACGCCACTGTTTGGGTGTTATTTGAAATGAACACCGTAGTATTTCAAATTATGAGAAACAATGGGTCTCAACAAAATATAAAAACAAGTACGTCAACTTTATGAAAGTGCTGATGATTTTTTTTCTTTCAGCTATGATTGGTGGTGTCATCAGTATTTCCAGAAGCATGGTATACCAGTTGATCGCTATTTCCCTATCATTGGAAGCCCTATGTTTCTCAAAAAGGTAGATAAATGAACTCAAAAGCATGTAGAAGTTACATTAACCTCTTCTTATTTTTGAGAGCGGCATCGAGTAGAAAATACTTCCTTTAATTATTTGTATCTTTGTGTTGAATAGGGCATCGGCTACAAGTTCGTCGAATACCAGAAGAAATATGGAAGAATCTTCGGGTGAGTCAGTCATTAGAAAGTAAAATCAAAAATATTTATTTGATTGAGACGTTAAACGAAATGTTTACAATATATGTATATATATACCTACAGGGTGAGGCCAAAAGCATTTTCCTTTGTATGCGTCCTTGCCTCCCACAAAACGGTAAATGTTACCACTTTTTTTTCTTCAGCCAACATTCGGTCAGTCAGTACAAGTTGCACTGATATTCAGCCATGCATGAAAGGATAAAGGCCTTTCTTTGTGTGACTACCCCAAAACACTACCAACACAATGTTTCCTAATATTTTTAAAGGTATAGTTAACGTTATTTAATGGCCAACATACTGCAAGACAGAACATTGCCAAGTAGCCATGACAATGCCACAGTTTACTGCTGTCCAAAGGGCCTTTATGGTCACGGAAGGTTGTATGAAACAGGTAGTGTACAATACACGATATGGCTAAGAACTTTGCAAACGAAGTACTGTTGAAATCCAAGCCCTCAGAAGAGCACGGATGGTCCGCAGAGCTATTGCAGACATGAGGACACGGGCATATCTACATGTATACATTGATCTGAATGACAGACAGGTGGAAGGTCGAGCATCGGGACAGTGAAAATATTTACATTGTCTGTAATTCAGTTTCAAGTTTAATTGACATCCTGTTCTGATATTCCTTTTATTTCTTGCATTGTCCAAAAGAAATTGTTGTTATTGTTTTGAGGCCTATTCTGGATATTGTGTTGTTAGCGTTTTGATGTAGTCACAAAGAAAGGCCTGTATTCTTTTCATGCACAGCTGTATATCAGTACAACTTTTACTGACTGTGGTCAACAGACCGAATGTTGGCTGAAGAGAAAAAAAATGGTAACTTTTACCGTTTTTGTGGGGGACAAGAACGTATCCAAAGGGACATTTTTTGACTCGCCCTGTATATCTCGATTCATTACTATCACCCGTGATTGTATTGACCTAAGATGAAGAACCCACATTGTCATCTCAGTAAGCTCATTGTAGGTACTATCAGCGTTTTGTGTTCCCCGCTTTTCAGGTCGTATTTCTTTCGGACCCCTATGATATGTATCACCGATGTGGACTTTTTAAAGCAAATCATGGTCAAGAATTTCTCGCACTTCGTCAATCGAAGGGTAAGAGTAAAATTTACTTTGAATGCACTTGTGTTTCTGATAATTTTTAAACAAATATTTTCCCATTAACTTTTACCCGTAATTGTGTTATTTTCCCCCAAAACCACTGCTAATGCAAGACGAAAGACCCATAACTCATACTTCATCCCCAAAAAAGAGAAAGCGCCCCACTACACTGTGAAAATGTTGGGCAAAATGGGTTGATATGTAGACCAACGTTGGTCAACATATCAACAGGTTAAAAGCTTGGGCAAATTCTTCCCGCAATAGTTGGGACAATTTTTACCCAAATGAGGTAATTTCAAACCAATGTTGGGTAAAATTATATTGCCCAACAGTGTTTTACCCATTATTTTTTACAGTGTAGCGTTACTTGCTTGATTCAAGCTTCTGCTCCCCCCCCCATTTTTTCTATCTTAATTGCTGTAGTCGGCTGAAGATTTGGGAGCATTTGTTGCGGATCCGCCCTTGGTGACCCCTTGGAAATGCTGGTGTCCCCCTAGGTCCCGCCCACTGTCGCGGCATGCGTATTTTCTTAATTTTTTTTGCAGCTGCCCATCACATCACGCACCCTAACATGAAAATGTATCACCCTGTGTGGATGGAAGACACTCAGGCTCTTGTAACGTAGTTTTTTCCATTCAATAAGCCTGTGTACTGATGACGTCACACTTTGTTACATTTGCACTTTCCTATGGAGCCAGTGGGGGGCCTACGGTCCACTGAGCACCATAGGAAAGCACACACGTAAACAAAGTGTGACGTCATCAGTACAGAGGCTTATTAAACTTATTGCATCCAACACAAATTCTTGATGATATGGACATGGGTTCGAACCACAGATCTTGCGATGCGATCCATAGTTCATTCCACTTTCAACTATAGGCCACTGTGGCAGCTTGACGAAAGCGGGTTTTTTTAAATGCCGTAGTGCACATGCATGACTGAGTGATAGCAATGGTGTGACTTAGCTGAATAATCATGATCCATTGACGATGCGGCATGCGTGGCGGCTTCCATTTGAAAGTCTACAGGGTGCAGACCAGTAAATCGACTCCATAGACCTCAGCGATAATTACACGCACTTCAAGTACATGAAGCGTCCTAAGTTCATGGTCCACAAAATGATCTAATGGCAAAAAAATTGAGGGCATACAAGTCGTGATTTTGCCCGCGTAGGCAACCGTTGAGTCGATTTACTTGCCTGCGCCCCTAGAAAAGGACTGAAGTCTCCCATTCCTTTGTTCAACTAAAAAAAATCACCGAATAACCTTATGTCCATTTGGTAACTATATTTTTTCTTTTCACTGCTCTCAGACAACATTGGGCATAAAGTGACCCTGACAGTAATAATCGTTTTCTCTTGAAACTTCTTTCCCCCAAGTCGACACTTTTGTCGCGAAAACCTATGAAAAGGGGCTTATTGGGGTTGAAGGATGATGACTGGAAGACGGTACGGAGTGTGGTCACCCCTGCCTTCAGCGCATCGAAGATGAAACAGGTGATTACAATGATTGGCTCGTCTTGGATCAAGTCGTCGTTCAAGTTCTACTTTGAACTTGCCATATTTTCTTAATAATCATAATCATTGCCAGATGCTCTTAAAATTTAAAAAGCAAATCTAGCGTATAGGTAGGCCTAAATTTAGAAGAAGAAAAAAATCATGTTAATGTTCTAATACTGCAAATTTCCATATTTTGTGATTACACCAATGATGCTGTAGACCTAATCACGAGGACGCCATTTTCGATCTCGTTTCCTGAATCTATTGTATAAATTATAAACTGTTGTCTGGGGTGGTGCCAGACTATCTTATGATTGGAGTGCGTTCCAAGCTCTCAAGTTGTTTTTTATGTGGCTTAAATCATTGTGATATGTTTAATCACAATTTTTTGATTATTCATCGGAGCAGACTGGTATAAATTTGTAATAAACTTTTACTTCACTGCTTGCATTTCCACTGTTCCAAAAAATGAAGAGTTTACCTCGCTTTCAATTTAATGGGGCCGACTCGTGAATAAAATATGTTAGGGAAAAATATTTACTTATTAGAAAAATGGTTAAACTCATTTGGATTTGTGCTTTCTTGAAAACTAGATGTCATCAATGATCAATGAGTGCTGTGACACGCTGGTGACAAACTTCGAAAAGATGGCAAAGGAAGGAAAACCTGTTAACTGTAAAACGTAAGGTTTTATTCACTTTTTCGCCATAAACTCTTAACCTTATTAACAACATTCCCGCGTAAATGCATTGGACTCTATATCGAGAGAGAAGATGCCCAGTGTGCAACGCGTCCATTTTATACCATTTGAAAGCTTTGAATTGTAACTTTATCCCTGGAGACTATTGGTTTGATTCGTAAAAGAGTTTTCAAATTATTCGTGTTCAAATAAAGGCATGTCGAAAACAACTTTAACCGATTTCAAACAAAATCGATGATGCGGTACATCAGATGCACACGCGAGTCTACAAGCTGGGAAAATCCGAAGGGCAAGTGACCCCCCCCCCCCCCCCCGCTCCCCCGGTTCCGCCGCCCCATCCCCGAGCTAAAGCATTCAGACTCCAACCGGTCTTAAACAGAGTGTTTAAAACCGGCAAAGTCACACATTTATTCCCTTATGATTAAATATACGGGCAATTCTCATTTCTTCGCAGTTTGTATGGCGGCTTCACCATGGATAGTATCGCGTGGTGCGGTTTCGGTTTGAAAGTCGACTCCTTGAGCAGCGAACACAACGAGTTCGTAGAGCACGCTCGTCTGGCATTCTCCTTCAGACGTTCAGCACTTCTGCTTTTTATCAGTAAGTTTCTGTAATCGATGATCGATAATCGAACTTCATCTCACGGGATCGCAAAATGTGTACGATGTTGCCGAATTCAACACAAAATATCGTTTGAAATATCTCATTTTCATTCCTGTATGAAGAATTCTTTTTCACTGATTGTCAAACTTGCTTTTATTATTAACTGTTATGCCTCGCAGCTGCGTGAAAATTGACCCAGCCAACAACTTAAAAGTTATCGATAGATTTTACTATATTTGTGCTTCTTCTTCAGCTTTTGTTCCATTTCTGAATCCGATCTTGGAGTACTTTGACGTGGCCCTCATGCCCGCTGAGGTGGCAACGTTCTTCACCCACGTTACAGATGAAGCTCGCAGGCTCCGTAATAAAGAGCGCCACCAGGGGGCGGACCAGAATGGTCATAATAAGGTGCGAATTATCATGAGGATCGAAACTGTTTCCCTGTCCAGTGCTCTCTGGGACCCAAAAGATTCCTACTCCCTGGAAAGTGTACAGATAGATGATGTCATTTGTCCAGTGCAAACGGCTTTAAACACGATACCATCGTGTGCCCCCAGAAGTACCCATTTTTACTCCGGGATGGAAAGAAGAAGACCTATCATGGAAAAGTGTCTTGCCGAAGGACACACGCACCGCAAGCCGCAGACAGTGGCGTGTCCAGCGGGGAGGGAAGGAAATGTGCCCGCGATATTTTGCCACATTTTATCTTTCGTTAAAAGTTTCTTAACTTCATTCCAAATTTCCCGAACCCCTAGCAAGGCGTGCCTACAACCCCCCCCCCTTCTGAAAGCTAGATCCGCCCCTGTAATGACGAGTTGTTTTTTATCTTTCTCGGCGTTTGTAGAACATTGACACGCTGCAGCTCCTCCTGAACGCGCACAACGAAACGGCAGAAGACGAAGAAAACGAGGCCGGACCCCAACTGAACACATCCAAGGTTGTCAAAAGACCGCTGACAAAAGACGAGGTCACAGCGCAGGTAGGCTCATGAATTATTCATTGAATTGGTAGTTCAAGACGGATAATTAGCGACGTGGGTTTATTATCTGTACAACCATTTTATTTTATTCAATCTTATTGCTTTAGCAAGGTGCTATTCAAAATTAATTTCTAGCATAGTATAATCCAAAGAGGGTGAATTGAATAAAGTGATGAAGAGCGTTAATGGATCATGCAGTGTGACCGTTTAGCCGATTTTCGGCTAACTTTTATAGAATTTTTGTTGAAAAACGAGTTTGACAGAAAATTTGACAGAAAATTTGACAGAATGGATTTATTTGGCATATTCTTGGAAGAATTCTGCAAAAAATGGTTATTTGACAGACAAACAGCAAATTTGAACAAAAAAGTGTACATTTGTTTAAAGCTATAGTCCATCATTTGCAGCCATCCGAAAAGTAACTGGCGTAATTACTGTTGAAAAACAAACTTGGTTGAAAGAAAGTAAGGGAACTAACCTCCCTGTGAAATTATTCTTTCTGGGAAACTGTCATTTTGAAGTAATCAACGAAAGAAGGCATTTCCAACGGTGATTCTTAAGAAGCACCGTAGGAAAATTTAAATTAGTAGTTGTTTTGTTATTCAGCGCAGCGCGCACAAGTATTGGAACGACGCACACGCGCGCGCGGTTGTTATAATTCGTCGGATCAGTGCGCGACGCCGCGTATAGCTGCAATTCAAAACAATTCAAAACATGATTCAGTAACTTTTGATTTGAAATTGAGATCTTAGAATGCTGTTTTTCTCGGAATGTACAGCTGAAGCTTAGCTGAAACTTCACCAGGTTAGTTGCTCAGTATCCTTCATTAGATTTTGAACACTTTTGTTGCTTCAAACGAACAAAATGCACTAATTACAAATGATGGACTATAGCTTTAAAAAGGCTTCAATCCTTTCAAACAAACCCTTGCATAATGGGACAGGTTGGCTGGTCTATAGGTGCTGAGGTTCACTGGGAAACAGACTTCGTCGTGGCCGGACCCGCGTTTTTCCTGAAATTTACCAATAATTTCACAACATCTTTATTTGACTAGATTGTTTATTATGTAATTTGAATCTTAATTAAGGCAATACTACCAATCTGCATTTGATTTTGAGTGTTTATTGTGTATTTTGAGTAATTCTGGGGAATTTGGCAGATTTTTGATAAATCTGACAGAATTTTGATGTGCATTTAGCAGAATTTGGCTCTGACCTTTATACGGTCACCCTAAATGGATGTCCCTGGAACCAAAGATGACTTGCTTCTGGGTGGACACTCTCTCTCTCTCTTGTGTTCCCCTGTTGTGTATTAATATACAGTGATTGTCTAATATAATTACCCTTTTGCATCTTTCACACAAGGGGATAACTTTCTTCCTTGCTGGTTACGAGACTACGAATACTCTCCTTGGCTTCGCGTCCTACCTTCTCGCCTTGAACCAGGACTGTCAGGAGAAACTGTACTCGGAGATCTTAGACGTGGCCCCAAGCCGCGAGCTCGTCAGCTATGACACTGTCGGCAAGATGAACTACCTAGACATGGTGATCAGTGAATCACTGCGCTACTACCCGCCAGTCGCCGGGTGAGTTACTTGCTTCTGTGATATTAGTTTTGTACACTGAATTTCGGGGAACATCGGTACTGGGGAACATAGGTATTGGGAAACATCGTGTAGACCCCTTCCTCACCACAGCCAGTAATTTGAGGGAAAAAAAAATCAAAATTCATGTGGAAGACAAGGTAATAACCATTAGTAAACTCTATTTGACAACAAAAAAATTAGTGAACTTGGGTACAAATCGTTCTGACTCACCCTGTATAACCGATAAATAGATGTGCAAGTTCCTTAGAAGAAGTGGAAGGTTCTATAATTCAGATCGACTAGTGGTGATTGCTGAAATATTGACGAAATATCCTTTTTGTAGATTCTTCCGAACTTGCAACAAGACATTTACCTATGACGGTACCACGATCGAAAAGGGTCGCAGTGTGCTGATCCATGTGTATGCCATGCATCATGACGAGAAATACTGGCCCAATCCAGAGAAATTTGACCCAGAGAGGTTGGTATGATTCTACATTTGGATTCACTTTGCTTTAAAGATGATCTCGAGGACATAAATGTAACCATCAGTCTTTAGAGTCTTCTCCTGCAAGCACACTTGCCGTGCCTGTATTTTGAAGGATTAAGACCGGTAAATAAACCACCATAGGCCATAAAGGTAAATATCCCCAATTAAAAAAAAAATCGGGCAAAATACTCACAACTCTCACAGATGATCAAGATAAACGTCATAGTAAAGCTTGATGTACCCTCTTCCGCTTTCTGTTCAATTTTCTTTAGGGGGTTAACCAATTGCTTTTGGGTAATTATTCTCTCCAGAGATAATCACGCCTAAAATGCAGTCCTGAACCCCATCGCCGTTTTGATCCCTAAAAGCCCTGAATCCTTCGAAATCCTCCTTGCTAAAAGTGGAGGAATTTGGAGGATTGAGGTTACATGGCATAAGTGAGTTACTGATTTCGTAGGATGCACTTTATCAAGGTCTTGGGCCAGACCTTGTGTTGTTTTTGCTCAGCCATGCATACATATAGGCCTGCAATATGCTTGAAATCCTCCGTACTGTTCCAGGATGTCACTGGCCAAGCCTCAACATATTGACAGTCACTGCCGCAGGATTTTACAGGATTCAGGCAGACGTGGTCACCCCTCCACGGACCATATTCAAAAAATAATGGAAGAGTTTGCAGGATTGAGGCTATATGCTATTTTTCCATGAAGCCAATTGGAGGATTTTGCAGGATTGAGGCTACATCCTAGCAAAAAGGCCTAGGGAGTTTTAAATTAACTCTTAATGCATTAAATAGAGTGACATTCGGATACGATATTTCTCCCCAAATTTCTCATAAAAAAACCTTCTATTGTGCAAACATACATTCTGTGCCAAGTAGTCCTTTCAGTTAAAATCAAACAAGTGATTGCTTTCAACAGTTACGAATTTCCCAACCTACATAAAGCGGGATTGACTGGCTGCGACTGTTTAAGTAACTTGATACGGTATGCTTGGACTCCGGCTGAGTGATAAAACAGCTGTGACCACAACTTGCCTGCTTTGTCTGTTGACCCAGTTTGACTAGTCACAGTGCTTGCTCGACATACGATCTGACTGCTGGTTATAAGCCTTTGTTAAAAGTATAGCAGGGGGAATGGAAGTGAATTTGGACTGTTTAAATAGCAGGAACGTTACACAGTCATACTGGTTTAGAGATGGGACTCGTTTTGTCTACAAATCTTCATGTGGAGGGGCCACAACTCGCACTTTCAGAAGGATTGATAGTCAACAAATTGTGCTTTGGCCGGCGTATAGGCAATTTTGAGCCTATTTACTGGTGTGCCCCGCCAGTCTGTCTTGTATATAGAGCAAGGACATAATCTGCATATTATATGTCTTAATTGTGTCTGATGTGAATATCTCTGTTTCTATGCGACACAGATTCAGCCCGGAGAGGAAATCAACCATCCACCCCATGGCCTACCTGCCGTTCGGTTTCGGGCCACGAAGCTGCATTGGGATGCGCTTTGCCTTACTGGAAGCCAAGATGGCACTGGTACGCGTTCTGCAGCAGTATCGTTTGGATGTCGGCCCAGAAACACAGGTATTTTGTTGTCACTCATACATGGTCTCTCATCGTACATCATGTCTCAATTCGTTGGGCCTAACCAAAAAGAGACTTAAATGTGTAGGTTCCACGTCATTACACTGCATTAAAAGTGCCAAACAAGATGCCCTTCTGACTATCTATAGTCCATTTCGAGCAGGGAACAGTATGAAGAAGTTGCTAAACCAGCTATGCTGCATACAGACCAGCAAATGCTTACTTGTAAGACATGTTTAAATACCAGTTAATGCTTTATAAACTTATATTCCTCGTGTCTGCTTCTCAGCTATACATTCTTCTGAATATGTCAGACTGAGGTTCTAGGAGCACTACGACATTGGGTCCCGGGTCCACTCCGGGGTCAAGTTGACCCCGATATGAGTCTACATCTGCACAGTCCGTTTCAGGGTCCAAAAAAATGATGCTTTTCTAGGCCAAAATGATCCAGAATTATGTCATTTTTAAACAGGAAAAAAAGTTTATTTTGCCAGAAAAGGGTCAATTTTGACCCGGAAAAGGGTTGTGCAGCTATAGACGCAGATTCTGGGTCAATTTTAACCAGGGAGTTTTTGCTGTGCATAGTGCGAATAGTAAAAAAAATGTCAATTTTCAGCCGAACCATCGCCAACGCGTATAATACGGTACCTGGAATTTCCAATACGTTCATGTGTGTATACGTGCTTTTTGGGTGTGGCACCTTGAAAAATAGATTTTCAAATTGACTTGGTAGTCTTCTAGCATTACACTAGTTATGAGCTTTGTCGGCCCACGACTACTAATCAATGAATTAATTTCTACTTTTGAATTAAGAGCGGGACGCTGCTTATTCGTTCTGAATAGTGTGCGCAATTTCTGAACTTGAGCGCGCCGTTTAAAACCAATTTTAAAAACTGTATAAAGGCCTGCAAAAACAAACAAGCAAATTTATTTGTTACAGGACATAATATTCCTTCAAATTTCACTAGGAAAAGAAAATCGAATTTTTGAAAAAGCACGTATATACTAATTGTTGTTGACATTTCCATGTACGAACTTTTGGCTAATACTAGGTCTTGTCTACCACAAACTGAAGTGTTTTCCGTGTGATGTCATCTTTTCTAGATCCCCATGAAACTTCACGGAGGAATATTCACAGCACCAAGGGAGGGCATCCAGCTCCGCCCGGTCCCAAGGCAATAGTGAGTGTTTGTACAGACACGCAAAGGCTCTACTCAACCTGTTCCTTACTTCCTTGTGTCTCAACATGGCTCAACATGACCCTGGGAGGGTTACTGGCGACCCATACTTAACTACCACGAGAAAGAGCATCCCGGATTCCAATAATAGGCCAACTTGACGATATCGATTTTCAAATAAAAAGGAAGAAATGGATTCCTCCCTCAATGTTCGAAGTTTCAACGGGTTTAGATCCTTCTGACAAATAACTCCCATCTTTCTCCAGTATTCTTTGTAATCCTAAAAAGTATACAAATTGAGGTGATTTGGTGTGGTAGGCGAAATTATTGCAACTTTAACAGATCATTTTATAGATCTGGAAACATCGTATAATTGTCTGGACGTAGGAAATCAAAAATTACATTAGTCTTGTATTCTATAGACACCTTATCCAAAAGTATTGCTTTGCAGTATGCGTAACATTATATCTGTCAGTATCTGACATGTCTGTGCATTATCGTTGTCATGATTTCTTTTTTTTTGGGGGGGGGGGTTGCAAATAAGCCAGTATCAGACGAGAGAGAGAAGTTTGCGGTAGCGCACTGCACCAACGCAGTGGGGACGAGGTTGGGAAACACCTATACCATGTAGCGTCGGTATTATTTGTTGCTTCCGTCCATACAGACGTCGTAGAAAACAATGTGCTTTAATTACCTTTTTCTCAAGATTATACGTTTTAAATGTTCATATTAAAAATACTCAATACTACATTTTAACCGCAAACTAGCAATTCTAACTAAACAAACGTTTATGCTGAAAAACTTAAGGTTTATATTTCCAAATTAGCTGCGAAGGAGTTTGCATACCGTCATACTCTTCATATTATAGATGATATGATTTATGTATAACCTTGTCGATATCGCTTTGACTAATCAAATATACATTGTAATATGAATTTTAATCACTTGTGGATCTCTGTGTTTATTAATTTTGGCATTTTGTCTTAATTCCAGTAGCCTAAGTATTTTAATGTCTAAGTATTCTAGTAAATATAGGCAATATCCTTCAGACCGATGTAAACTGTATCTGAAATGTATCTGAAATTATATCTGAAGCTGCGTGTTTCGGGATCTTCTACGTAGGGTTTGTATTCAAGGATTCAAATAATATCTCAAGGATATTTTTCTAGGTATAAAACAGTCTTTTAAAAGGTTTTTTTGTACAGAAAATGAGTAAATAAAATGCCTCCATTGAACATCAGTCGTTCACAATGGAATATAAAAAAAAAATGTACAATGTAATTTTAGAGTCCGACAGATTGCAAAATGAATAAGATTAGCGGTAGCATTTGCTTTTGAAGTGAATGAATAAAAAAGAGTTGTACTATACAAATTGAAAGTATCATTGTTGGTTTTCTTTAGCAAGCTAGCTGAAGAGCTCCATTGAATTGGCATAAAGAACAAGTGCGACTGAGTGCACAATTAGCTCTGGCGAAAAATGCGACGCCGATGGCACATAGGGAGCACCATACTTATGGTCAAATTTCAGGACAGACAGATAGAACATCCGACCGACCGATCGACCGACCGACCACCAAGTGACATGTATAAGCTCCTGCCAGAGCATAAAAATCGCACCCGCCCACCTTTGGGGAACATTTCCTCCTTCTGGATACCGTCCAACCACTACACAAAATGGCGTCCATCTTGTTCGAGGAAGATGTTATACAGCGCAAGTGCGAGTGCACGCACAATAAGCTCTGACCGTGTTACAGGAAGTCTTGCATGGAAGTTTAATAGTTTTGCATGAAATCGATCAAAATTATCCCTGCCGGAGCTTAAAAAATGCGACGCCGAAAAATGCGACGCCGACGGTCAATTTTGGTCAGATAGACAGACCGACCGACCACCAAGTGACATGTATAGAAGCTCCTGTCGGGGCCCAAAAACTATACATGATGGCTGTATTTACGAGTACAATGTACTCAAATCTCAAATTGGCAAGGAAACTGAGGTCTCCCGCGCTCTCTTTTGTTGAGAGGATTTAAAACCCCCAAAAGGTCCTCACTTCATACAATGGCTTAGCACAGAGAGCCTCGATTTCGATGCTAATTTGAAATTCCTCTGTTCATTGGCGGATGGATTTTATCCCTCGGAAGACGGTGTTGGATGGGATCAACAGGTTTACTTGCCGGTAGAGGATTGTAATGAGTCGTGGCCAACCATTTACTGGTGTTTTTTTCTAGAGCATTGAATGGTACCGGCAACTTCGGTTGTTGTTTTTTTGCCATAAGTATATATATACAATTACATGAGGGAAACACATAGGAACATTCATTTTGCCGAGTTCATGGACAAAAAAAAGTGAAGAAATGACCAGGCCCAGTCTATCCAAAAGGCACAGTATGCACTGTGCCTAGGCCCTACGAAAAATTTGTGGGCCTTTACGAAAAATTTGAGGGCCTACTAAAAATACCACAGTGTGCCAATGTGCTTTTAGAGCTATTTTACCCGTCTTGTTTAGTACATCATGAAATTAGTGCTGGTGCTTAGGGCAGAGTAGGGCCTACGAAACACTGGTGCCTAAAGGGTATACGAAACACTTAATCCGAACCTGGAAATGACTACTATAATACCCAGTGAATTTCTGCACGTGGTTCTAGAAGTGTGCAAGCGGAATCCAGTTACGAGACCCCAAAATTGTGAATGTGTTTCTGTTTTATCCGATTGTTGAAGTTTGGTAGGCATCCTAAAGATTTTGAGCAATATTTGTTGCTTTTGTGTTGTAGTTGTTTTGTGTGTGTGTTTCTTTCCAATGATTAAGTCGATGCCCTGCTGCAAGGAGCAGATAGCGACCACCCTTTGATTCGGGGTACCTGCGCCCTTTTGTCGATAAAATTGTGATTCTCATCATTTTTTTCTCTGGAATTTAATAGAATATTTATTCATCATAGAGGTGGTTTCCTTTCAATAGGACCTTCAAACTGGAACCCTCAAACTCATAAATGTTATCACTGTAACGTAAGTGCATTTTCAAGCGCTCCATAGAGATTTCTGTGTGTAAGTTCCTTACCCTTCACTCCATACAATCGAATCAGCCATTAAAACGTTCATTGATTCTGATATTTTCAGAGCTTTCGTAAGACAACATTGGAAATTCTCAAACTCTTTAAGTTTACAACTGTACGTACCTGCATTATAAATAGAACAGAGAGCGGTTTCAATTCGCCTTACATCATGGTTATTTTTGCGGGTATACTTTTTGCACATGTCCGCCTTAAAGATATGCTGGTACAAAGTAGATCAATAACAATATTGAACTTCATTGTGATTAAGAGGCAGGGGGGTTTTGGGCCTTCCTCAGTGATTAAAGGACCACACGTTTCTCTGGACCTCTTCAGTTTAGTCGCTGCCTCCGGTCCAACGTGCTTGTATCTCCGGTAGGTGTACGAGCTCAAACCTCGTCATGTCCATCACGCTTGTTCTGATCGCGCTGATTGTTGGGCTGTTCGCATGGTGAGTAACATAGACCATTTTTTTTCGCTTAATTTTAAATATTTTGGGTTCCACGTTGCTTGGAATGTTTTCAACAACTATAAAGTATGTCCCCCAAAAAGTGTCCGTCTGACTATTTGTTTTGAAATATCTACAAAACTATGAAGTCAATTTTAAAATGTTTTTTTTATTGTGCAGATACTCCTTATCCTTGGCCTGAACCCCTGTGAGTTTCATCTAATTTCAGTCATGTATCACTACACAATTGTCAATTGATCACAACAACATTTTTGGACACTGTGACCAACAAGTTCCTTGCCTTAATGACTTTCAGTGCAGTGTCATGTAAGCTGTGTAAAATCCTGCATGCTGTGAAAAGGGCTGCGGTTGGGATTTGAATCATATGCCTGGCTATCAGTCATCATGACAATGCCTACTCAGTTTAACGCTCAGGGGCAACTGATTCCAATTCCAAACCACCTCAGTTTTTTCACAATCAAAAATTTTCAAAATTGACATCATGGTTTTGTAGCTATTTCAAAAATAGTCAAATGACACTTTTTAAGGGACATACATGTATAATTTAAAGAAAAACTGTGCACGTTTATGCTCCGAACGGGCTTAGCTGCGTACCTTTCACTTGGGTGATTTTTGTTTGATTTTGTCCACAAGGAGATGATGTCAAAATGTAGTTTAAATGGTTGGTTCTATTAAAATTCTACCGCTTTATGTTAAACATGACTTGAAGATGCAGAAGAGAAAACGAAACCCTACATTTCTTTTCCTTTGCCTCCGATGATATTCTCTTAGGAGCTGGTACAAGAGACGAACCTATTTCAAGACGTTGGGGCTGTCCGGCCCGCCTCCCCTACCGATCGTTGGTAATATGCTTTCGTACGGCAAGGTAAGCTGAATTGATCTCTGTCTTCCAATCACCAGAACAAAAGCAAACCTCGGCAAGGACATAACAATGACATCCAACAAAGTTATCACTTGAATGAAATCCCCACTATCCTGATTTACAGTCAACATTTTCCGAAATCTGCAGTGGTGGTACAAAAAGAAGGATCCCCACTTTTGACAGCAATTTCCACCTACTTGTCGAGCATATTTCAAAAATTCAATTTAATGGTAATAAATTCTGATCTTTAAACATACGTGACGAAAACATTTTCGCACATGAATATTTTATCTCTGAGATAAGGTAGTTTACAAAGTTCACGTGCCAAACCTGTTTGTCCACGGACGGCTTTATCCCATCCGCTTGACTGAGCTCCGGAGCTTGATTTGAAGACAAAAAAATACCACACTAGTGGACAACAGTGATTTTGGTGAATGTATTCAAATTGGCAGAATAACACTACTCTTGCAATTTTTAAAAAGATTTTTTTCGAGTTAAGTTAAGTTCAAATAACTTAACTTTTAATCATTAGAGTCAAGACTGAAACATTATTTGTACTGTCAAATAGTGTGTTTTAAGTATGAAAAAGTAAGACATATTGCGAAATATTCGTGGCGATTTTTGTCTGTTTTCCTTTGCAAGTTTTCGTTCATTCATAAAGGTGGGAAAACGTCCATGTTTCACTCTATTTAATGGGTATTCATTCATCAATTCGTAGAACGGTATAAAAGAATGATCAGTGATGGTTGACAGCTGAATTTTGTGAATGTTTTTTTTTATTAAAATAGATATAACTTGGGAATAGAGTATACAAAGTACGTGAAATTTTCACAGGTTAGCCTACTAGTCACTAGTCTTATTGTTGTGAAATGGAGCGAGACACATATTAAAAAAAAAATCTGTAACTTTCTTTTGGTCTCACCCTGAATACACATCCAAGCTGTCACTGTATAGGCCTACACTCGCAACCTTATATATTGCGATTTTCTCACATGGTATCCTTTAACAGTGAATGCAGTAACAACAATGGCTGCCGCGCATAATGTCCATAAAAAAAAACACTACCAGCCAAAACACTTCAACCTATCAGCTTTTTTTTTTACCAATCCTGTGTCTGTTATGGGCCTTTTGCACGAGTCGGCCATATTGAATTGAAAGTGAGGCAAACTCTGAACTTTTAGAACTTGCCAGTGGAAATGAATTGAAGTTAATTACTAATTCGTCCCAGTCTGCTTCAATGAATAGTTAAAACTTTGTAATTAAACATTAAAAAAAAATGATAGAAAAATAAGGCTGCATTTTATGCCTGCATTAATAGTCTGGCGCCATCCCATTCAACAGTTAACAATGAATGAAATACATTTAGGGAACTCGCCAAAAAGGCCAACTCGTGCATAAGGCCAATTCGATGTTATACAATATATTCAGGTGTTGTGTTGAACAAAATATGAATGTTTCACATTCGTGCAAGGGAAAAATAAATTCATTCGGTGACAGATGGAATGTTACATTCCACACGGCTTCGCCTCGTGCAATGGAACATTACATCTGTCACCTCATGAAATTATTCTTACCATTGCACTCACAAACATTCAATATTTGTATAACATCAACTCGCTGAAAGGAGCAAAGTCAACACACTTTATATAATCCACAGTGCCGGGCAAAGTATAACATACATGGCTCAGCGGGTACTTTCCAAAAACCATTTGGAAATGATATCCCACACCCTCCACCACCCCCACAAATCGCGTTTCTTATGGGAGGGGTTGGGACATGGGGTTAGTGGCGTAACTGAAAAGCCCATTTAAAACCCCGTCTGACCATCACCTCAAAATATGATTTTGATCATTTGATCCATGCCCTGAAAACAGATCACAAGTCATTAAATCTCATTGCATTGTAGGCCCAGGCGGCTAAAACGATTTCTGGACTTTATGATCTGTTTTTTTTTTGTTCCAGGGTATGCATGTAGCACATGAAGAATGGACCAAGCAGTACGGGAAAACATTCGGGTAGGTTTTTGTCACCGTGTCCTGTAGCTAGCGTGTATCAATTCGTCTTGTCAGTGATGATCGATTTATTTGTCTCTCTTACTTTCAAAACGCTGTATATCTAGACCAATGTACACAACACCTTTTTATGGCAAACCAGGTATTTGCATACATCTTGCGATTTCCGGTAGTGTGGGTGGTTAAACGTGATATGGAATGGCATAGAGTGCAAATACAGAGCTTAAGCCCCCCCCCCCCCCCCGCAAAAAAAATAGTCGGTCTCTGGTCAGCGCGTGCGTCGATTTTCATCATGCGCGTGAATCTTTTTTTCTTCTTCAAATTTTCCGCGTTTTTAGCTAAAACAGCGATCTTGCTGCACCACCTCAAATGTTTGTACCAAGGAGCACCAAGGAATGGGGAAATTGCACAAAGGCAAGTGATGGAGGGCACCAAGGCAAATGATGGAGGACACCAATGTATATGAGGACACAACAAATGCAAAATAGTACCCACCTTGTCTGTACAATCCAAGCTTGAAATAAAAAGCCGACCAAAAAAAAAACCCGCGTTGCCGCATCAATTTCGTTTATTTCGTCATGTAGCCTAAATATTTGGCATTATTGGCATTTTCCCCCTCAAACTACCTGATGCCGTACGTATTTCAATGGGAACGTATCAGAGGATGGCTCCTCCCGACGCTGTATCCAAAAGCGCTACATGCACGGTTTACGCTGATCTCTTTCACATGACAAAAGAAATGGGTATAGGAAACAAAAAAGCATTGTGGGAAGTTTGCCACAGTGATCATTCGCTCGTACCCCCCGCCCTGCAAACAGGACGCTGGGATACTCTGATGAATTCACGCTCTGATTGGTTGGATTTTGCGTGACCAGTGACCTGTGCGTCATCAAGGTCATGACTCTGCAAGGTTTGAAACGGCCGTTAAGACTGATTCATTACTCTTTTACTTCAGTTAAGAGAAGTTTTTTTGTCGTTGAAAAGCGTAATAATGTAGGAAATTCTGTAAAACTTATCTGTGTTGTAAATTTACAATTCGCGTCACTCGCTCAGGCTCCGTTTCGAATCACGAACGGTCGGATTGCATTATGCGACGCTCAAAATTTTGTCCACATGGTCCGCAATGAAACAGAAATCACATCCGGTATGGAATGTGTGCAATTCTATGGGAAGTTTTCGGATAGTATTTGCACACATTGTCTAACTGCGGTCTTGAACAGCTGCAGCCAGATGCTTTATACATAGATCATAGGCCACTTCCTTCACAAGATTCTCTGAAGCTCATCAGAGTATCCCAGCGTCCTGTTTGCAGGGCGGGGGGTACGAGCGAACAGTGATCACTGCACGCGTATCTCCAAGGCGCATGTGCAATTACTTTATTTTAAGAGCCCAGAGAAATTACCAGTGCAAGTGGCATACTAAGGTGGGGGCATTCCCACCCCTCTCTATCGACCGTAAGGTCTGGATAGACTGGTTCCGGGCCCGCTCCTGTAATAAGGAGACCAGTAGCTAGTTTTCATGTAAATCCGTTGATGGGATCACCTCTGCGCATGCGCAGTATATATATTCATTTGAAACGATGTTTACATTAATTTTCGCTCATTGATGACAATTGAACTCATGGCTATCGGATAACTGACTTTTATCAGTGCCTCTCTTTATTGATAGTTGCCAGGGACACTTTCGAATTCAGAGAAAATCGAAAATCATCACCACACAAACTGCGCATTAGTAGAGTCAGTGCTATGATCATATTTGTACCGTTCATTTCCGTTTTTCCCTCTCAACAGTGTGTTTGAGGGTGCTAGGAAGGCCATTATTACATCCGACCTGGATATCATGCAAGAGGTACTCATCAAGCAATACAACAAGTTCTGCAATCGCCAAGTAAGTACATTAGGACACAGAAAATGCAAATTCTCTGTCAATGTCCGGTACTTCACTCCCTGGTATGCAATCAATCTAGTGCGTGATTATTGCGTAGAGGAACCAGTGGAACGGAGGGAGGTCTCATTTTTAGACTGGTTCCCGCCCATTTACTTGAAGACCAGTGAGGGGACCGGGAACCAGTCAACGTAGGTCTGCGCGAATAGACCTGAGCCGTGATGATGACGTCACGCTTTGTGTATATACGTGTACGCTTTACTAGGGAGATTGGAACTTTCAACGATCGTCCCCACCTGGCCCCCATAGGAAAGCACACAAATAAAGCGTGACGTCATCCTGTCTCTGGCTTTTGTCAACATATTGAATGAACTGCACACGTAGGCCACGTTCACTCATTGAAAATGTGCGGGTTGAAAACGACATCTTTTTTTAACGAAGGGCGTCCGTATGAAAACAATACTACAAAGTTGTCCCGGGTTTTGGAATTGAAGGCATACCCTTATAAAAATGACAAATCTGGACCGAATCCACTTTGATTTCTAATTAGCTTCATCTCGCTGCCCAGAGTATTAAACATGGTTCCGGTGCTTGAGTCCCATTGTGTAACACTCCATCAATTGTTGTAATCGGGTGATAGCCTACTGCTCCCTTATGATTTGGAAGCATCCGTTACGGAAAAAAAACCTTGTTAATACCTTTAAAATACTTTTTCCCCCTCCCCGTAGGTTCCGCCCACTGAAAAGACCACTGCCGCGGCACAGCGCATGCGCGAAACGGCCATCTTTGTGATTCTTTATAGGGTGCATACCTGCAAATAAACTCCCATAGACACTAGTGCTAAATGCCCGTACTTCAAAATTCTTTTAAAAATACTCAAAACTCTCACAGGTATTCAAGCTGCACAGAAAAATGATGATCAATGTGTCATCTTTCAATTTCTTTTCAATTTATGGTGGGTTGACCATTGACTTTTCGAGATATTTTCACGCAAAGAAGACGACCCCTATTTTCCCCAAAGCGGAAAAGTAGCCATCTTGAAAAACGATCCCTCCACAACATGGCAAAATAGCGCCACTTTCGAGCCCAATTGCATCCAAAATGCTCAGAATTGGAAGCCCCAAGTCCGGGCCAGAGGTTCACTACCATATCTCTTCAATTCCCCAATTTTACGGCGCTCAGAACTCTCTAATATAGAATATTTTGAGGGTATAACTTTTATTCATGAGCTTGGCGGATCGATTTACCGGTGTGTACCCTATAATAGCAGGCAACTTTTAAATTTTAACACAAAATCACATTCAGGACAAGCAGAAAATCTCCAAAGTCAATATTTTGAAAAAAAAAATGAAAGAAAAATATTATCCGAGGTCGATATTAACCCCGAAAATAGTGATTGTTTTGCCCCTGCTAAGCTGTAGAGCGCCCCCAGCGACAATAAATTGAGTTCCAGCTACTTTAAAGCTCAAAATGCCCCCCCCCCTTTTCAACTATCAATTGTTGTAATCGGGTGATAGCCTACTGCTCCCTTATGATTTGGAAGCATCCGTTACGGAAAAAAACCCTTGTTAATACCTTTAAAACACTTTTTCCCCCTCCCCGTAGGTTCCGCCCACTGAAAAGACCACTGCCGCGGCACAGCGCATGCGCGAAACGGCCATCTTTGTGATTCTTTATAGGGTGCATACCTGCAAATAAACTCCCATAGACACTAGTGCTAAATGCCCGTACTTCAAAATTCTTTTAAAAATACTCAAAACTCTCACAGGTATTCAAGCTGCACAGAAAAATGATGATCAATGTGTCATCTTTCAATTTCTTTTCAATTTATGGTGGGTTGACCATTGACTTTTCGAGATATTTTCACGCAAAGAAGACGACCCCTATTTTCCCCAAAGCGGAAAAGTAGCCATCTTGAAAAACGATCCCTCCACAACATGGCAAAATAGCGCCACTTTCGAGCCCAATAGCATCCAACATGCTCAGAATTGGAAGCCCCAAGTCCGGGCCAGAGGTTCACTACCATATCTCTTCAATTCCCCAATTTTACGGCGCTCAGAACTCTCTAATATAGAATATTTTGAGGGTATAACTTTTATTCATGAGCTTGGCGGACCGATTTACCGGTGTGTACCCATCCGGAACTCCGTGACGCTCTGATGATTTTTAACGTATTAATTTGCGAGGGAAGGCTGAAAATACAAGGTGAGTCAAAAAAAGCGGAACCCAAACCCCCAAAACTATATTTCATATTTAAACAAATATGTAGCACCAACAATAATAGTGTCTGGCAAGTCAATCTCATAAGCTACTTTAGATGAATAAAATACTGAAATTGCTCCATCCGTTCAAAGGATATAACCATTGAAACACAATGACCCTAAAACCCCTTTCGTCGAAACATGCGATTTCAAGAATCGTCGTCACAATTGTCTTCACACATCACCAGCGATAAAACCTCAGTTTAAAAGTTAAAAATATTCAACAAAGTCCCTTTGAAGGTCCGTCTTTTAAAAAATCAGGGATTTTATAAAACACACTGTTTGCCCAACCAGGATTGTTAATAAAGATATTGTGTAATACAGTCGTTGAAGCAAGTATTTTGTGCCATTTTCTTTGTTGTTCCAAACAGTCAGAATACACAAAAAAAGTCTTCTTTGCGTTTAAATTGAGCAATTTCAGTATTTTTATCTAAAAGTAGTTTATGAAATTGGCTTCCCAGTCATTGTTATCTTTGCTGCTACATACTTTTTTTTTAATATGAAATATTTTTTGGGGGGTAGGGGTTGGGTTCCGCTTTTTTGACTCACCCTGTGGCTTCTTTTTTTCTAGTAATATAAGGCAACAATGATCATCCTACACTTTTCAACAACAATAAATAAGCCAAAACCAATGTGTACGTGTTTTGGTAAATAAAGCGAAGCTGGTTGACTGGTAAGCTGGCTAGTTAGCTAGCTAATTGGCTGGTTTTTCTGTATGTTCGCTGGCCGGCTTGCCGGTTGGCTATCTGGCTTGCTAGCTGGTTGGCTGACTGCATGCCTGGCTGGTTGGCAGATTGGCTGGTTGGCTAGCTGGCTGGCTGGCTGGATGGATGGCTCGTCGGCTTGGCGGTATGACTTATCTGGCTGGCTATCTCCCCTATTAGCTGGCTGTTTGGCTTGCTGGCTGGTTGATCGGCTGTCTGGCTAGCTAAATCGGTTGATTGGCGTGCTGGCTGGTTGGTTGGCTGGCAAGCTAGCTATCGGCCTGCAATATTCTCGGCTGGTCAGCCTGTCGGTTGGTTGGCTGGCTAGCTGGCTGGTTGGCTAGTTTGTAAGCTGGCTGGCTGGCAAGCCGGCTGACTCCCCCACTAGTTGGCTGGCTGTCTGACTGCCCCCCCCCCCCCCGGCTGGCTATGGTTGGCTGACTGAGTGACCGGCTGGCTTTCTCGCCGGCTGGTTTGTTAATATCTGACTGGCCAGCTGATCAGCTGGTGAACTGTCTGGACGAGTTTGTGGTGGCAGAGGTGGCGCTTTAACCCATGCTTGCCAGAAAACTAATAGACATTGTACATTTCAAAAACCTAAATATTACAATTTTGTCATCTTTTTCTTCCGACAGGAATTTCCGCTCCGGCCGAAGCTCTTTAAAAACGATCTTCTGAGTTTGAAAAATGAGCGCTGGAAACTAATGCGAAGTATGGTAGCATCGACCTTCAGTAAAACCAAAATGCAAAAGGTTGGTCCAAACCAGGCAGTTCCACAAATCATTAAACAAACATGGCATTTAACTGAAGCCCACACATTCAAGAACTCAGTCACAGTGTCAAAATGTCAGAGTTTGTTGCAGTTTCCCTTATTTTAAAATTTCTTAACCAAACTGCCGCTGTTACTTTTATTACGTACCAGTAATTAGAGTGAAGAATAAACTTTTTTTAGCCGGGATATGTGCCTGGCTTTGGTATGGGCTGTAGCTTATGATGATATTCCAAATCGTAGTCTAGAATCTACACCCGAATGATCTTTTTAACCATTAACTTTATTACATCGTTTAGATGGTGGGTTTGATCGTGAACCGGTCGGAGATGCTCATGAAGAACGTGAACAAGCTTTGTAGCGAAGGAAAGAGTATTGAGATTTCCAAGTGAGTATTTTGTTGCCGTGATATCAAATATGCATGTGCGGGTCTGTTTATGAAGCTGGTTTTAACACTTCAGTATGTCCCGAAAACTAGTTTTGAAATTACTAGGCCTTTAAAACCATGAAGTCAATTTTGAAAATATTTGAATGCGTAGATACTACATGTCCTTGGCCTAAACCCCTAGTTTCATTTAATTTCCTTCATGCCTCACTGCACATAGTATTGTTCTCGATATCGTGTTTGGTCACTGTGACCAAGTTCCTTGACTTAATCAATTTCAGTGTTGTGTTATGTGAGCTGTTTAAAATCCTGCATGTTATGAAAAAAAGGCTGATGTGATTTGGGATTGGAATAACTTTCCCAAGAGCATTCAACTGATGTCTTGCCATGATGACTGTTAGCCAGGCCAATGATTCCAACCCAACCGCAGTCTTTTTTACAAAATGCAGGATTTTACACAGCTAACATAACACAGCACTGAAATTCAATAAGGCAAGGAACTTGGTCACAGTGTCCAAAAAATGTTGCTGTGATCAATTGGCAATTGAGTAGTAATGCGTGACGGAAATTAAATGAAACTCACAGGGGTTTAGGCCAAGGATAAGGAGTATCTGCACAATTAAAAAGTTTCAAAATTTACTTCACGGTTTTCCTATTATTTCAAAAATAGTCAGACGGGCACTTTTTGAATACATAAAAAAACAAGGCATCGAAAAACAAGGCATATAGGCCAATCATATAGGTTGCACCGAGCGTTTCATGTGTATGATAAACACTGTGATATCATTTTGTTGTGTTAAATACAGAATGCTGGGCAGTTTTGTAATCGAGTCTGGCACCCTGTGCGCATACGCTACAGAGATAGACTCACAGAATCTGGACGACACCACCTTCATTGACATGGCCGAATTATTTTTCCAAGGATTCAAGGAGCAGCAGACTACTTGGGCGATCACCCGTAAGTTTTACAGCCAATAATTGATCCCCAATTCCTTCTTCACTCTGTCTACGATTGAGAAAGATTGGAACGGCATCTTGTTGGTTTAGGCAGCCACAGGGAAGATAGTTTGTCGGGGCTCGGGTCGAAAATCTAGTTTCCGGTTAAAATCTCGATTAGTATACCCCTTGATCTTATAATCTAAATTTGTAACCTGCCAGCCACGAATTGTATGTCAAATTCAGAAATATTATATGCAAACAGAGCCGGTTGGTAGTTGACAATCTTGTTTTCATGGGTTTTTGATTATCCGCAGTGATGATGCCCTGGATGGAGCCAGTCCTCCGTTGGTTAGGATTCTCCTTACATCCGATGAAATCCGTCAATTTCTTCAAGAGTATTGTCGTGGATATTATTCACGAACGCAGGGCGGACCCTAACCAGAAGGTGAGTCGACCATTTTGGCCAGGCGATTAACTAAGTCAGTGCGGCGCGTTTTACGGCACTGATGATTCGAACCGAGTGAGGACATTATCACGTGCCATTTCTGAAATCTCCCAAGATTCTTGGACATTAGAGTTAGCCAGATATAAAGATTTACCATGTATTGGTACCACTAACTAACCACAGTCTTATGTTTTTTGACTCTGCAAACATTACCAACCTCTGAACAACAAAACTAATCCTTCACAGTGACTTTCTTGCTGAGTTGCTTGACTCGAATGAAGTTTAAACCCATTTATCTTTTTTTAAATTAACCACACCCTTTTACAAATCCAAGGACTACGTGGACTTCTTGCAACTACTGATGAACGCCCACAAATACCAGGACGAGGACACGCCCGAGGATGAGAAGGTCTACGTGGATTACAAGCGCGCCCTCACCGAGGATGAAGTCACTGCCATGGTAAAACAACCAAATGAATGATCTTTTTTTTTCAGGATTTTTGTTTTTTACATTTCGTGAAGAGCAGGTTCTCGGAAACACATAAGTTAGTGTGAATCAACCACGTATTGCCAGCATCGGATTAAATCCTTTTGATATCTCACATATTTCTTTGTTGATTATTCTTATTACAATATTTTTGAATTAAAAAAAAGGTGACAGTCGAAATTGTTTTGTACACAGGCCGTTCTTTTTTTCATAGGTAATTACGAGACAACCACCACCGCCTTGTGCTTCACTTCGTACCTTCTGGCGACCAACCCGGAGGTCCAGGAACGGCTGATCGATGAGATTGATAACGTCATCGGGGAGAGGACTTCCCTTACGTATGGAGACGTGTCTAAGTTACCATACCTGGACATGGTCCTACACGAATCAATGAGGATATACCCGCCAGCCATTGAGTACGTATTTGTATGCCCGACTGGTTAGGATTGTAACATTCTTACTTTGAATAAAATCGAGTGTTTTCGAAATGATTTTGGTTTTACTCCAGACACCGCATACAAACACTAACCGTGAGTTAAAGCACAGCCATGCCAGAGACTACTCCTAATTTGCATACGACTTGTGCAAGATTTTTGAACATGCAAAATGATCCAATACCATGGTGAAAAAGCAAGTAGTGGTGGGAGCGTACTGCTCGACACCGTGGGAATGAGGTTATTGGTGATGCAGGCGTACAAGCAAACAAAATAGTCTGGTTCCTAGACAAGACGATTCTAACATCTCATAGATTATAAGTCAGGTAACCGTCAAATTCAAAAACAGAACATGAAGCAGCAAAGCTCAGCATTTGTCTGAATGATGGTTAAGGACTTGGGGCCTATAAGGTTAAAAGTTTAGTGAAATTACAGAAAAATAATGAAGTTGAAAATGTCCCCAAAATAAGAAATTCTTGTTTACTGTTTAAATAAAACATACAAATAGAAAAATTTTCAGGAGAAAAAAAATATTTAAAGAGCCCGGATAGCAGGGAAATTAGATCACAACAAGCCAAATTACCATTTCGTTTTCTTGAGGGTTATAAATTCACAGAGGTAATAGTAAACCTGTAAAATAGCATGTAAAACGAATAAAGAAGCAGATTAAACAAAAAGAAGAAGAAGACGTCTCCGAGATCAGATAACTGGAAATCAATTGTTACCCTAACCTCTGATCAATCGGTCATGCTTATTGCATTAGGCTCTGTTGTGCAGGATGTATAGGCCTTGTTGGCCTCGCTCAGCCTTCCCATGATTCCCCCGTTCCTAACCTCCACGCTCAATATTATTTGAAAGAGGCAAGCTCCGGTTTTGTTTTGTTTTTTTTAATCCAGGTTTGACCGAATTTGTCGGGAGGATTGCGTTATCAAAGGCATCCAAATCCCGAAGGGAACGATGATGGAATTTCCTGTCTGGGTTGTTCATCATGATCCCGAAATCTGGCCAGATCCGTACACGTTTGATCCCCAACGGTAAGAAATTAAACAATATTAATGGATGTGTCCGAGTAGCTAACCCGGATCGACTCGGGTTTGCGCCGTGTGCCGTGGATTAGCTCTGACGTCATTCTCGGGGCTCACCCGGGTCAGCCACCACAGACCCTGCTCGTGGAGCAGTGTGGAAATACGTCACACTGGCGCATGCGTTGTTCATTCCAAGAAACGGACAAATTAATGTGGCGGCCGGACAGCTGAAATCTCAAGTCGATCCAGGTGAGCTACTCGGACGCACCCAAAGTTTGACCAGACACGAGTTGGACACAAAATGGCTCCTGTCTATCGGCAAATGTTGCTCGAGCGTGGATTTGTTCGGTCTGTGCCTATACATGTATAGTATATCCACTCACAGCGCATATCGCATAGGCTATGTCCTTACAGTACATAACCCATTTACTGTTGCACCACATGTATGCACACACTCTGCAATACATGCACACACATGTACGTGAAATACGTGTGTTGTACAATGTACTTACAGTGTGTGCGCATTGTTAAACGGCACTGAAGTGGAATGCGCGCTGAAGTGTACCTTGTCGGGCATCTGGAAAGACGTAAACTAAGTGATTTTTGGCTGTTTCGGCACTTTGCCGAAACAGCCTTTGTTTTCGTTAAGATTTTTATTTTTTTATTTTTTAGCTGTTCCCAATTTCAATTGGGAACAGCTATTGTTTTCGTTAAGATTTTTTTTTACTTTCTTTTTGTTCTCATTTTTGGCTTTTTCGCAATTTCGCGAAAAAGCCTTTGTTTTTGTTCTCATTTTTTTTTGGCTTTTCCGCAAAGTTGCGGAAAAGCCCTCGTTTTTGTTCTGGGTTTTTTTTTTCTTTCTTCTTCTTCCTCTTCTTCTTCTTCTTCTTCTTCTTCTTCTTCTTCTTCTTCTTCTTCTTCTTCTTCTTTTTGTTCCACTTCAAATGCCATTGACTTTGTGCACGATTTTTCTAGGTGCCACTTTTGGCATTAATTTTGCCATACATCATTCAAACTTAGCATAAGCATAGTCCCTATAGCAAAGATGTGTCCCGAAGATTGACGTCATGGTGACGTTATCGACTAATTTATTATAGATTTTTGAATATTTAATTTTTCCCATAGACTTTGTACACAGAAATTTTAAAAAAATTGTCGATTTTCAAAGGGCATTTTTGACTCTTTGCCAGTCATTCATTTACACCAATCTTTGTCCAAGCAAAGACCCTAATTCAAACAACATTGTGTAATGATGACGTCATGATGACGTCATCCGGTGTGTATTTATGGGCAATTAAATTGTGACACTTTTAATATTTAAAAATGCATAAGAAATCAACCGTACGCGTCCGCAGCATTCTGTTGCTGGCAAGTGGTAGAGTAGGTTGAGGTCTTTATTTCATTTAGTGTGCGTGAAATCACGTGACCCTTGCTTCCGGTCGAAAAAGGCCAAAACCGAAAGTGGCTTATTATTTGAAAATGGTAATAGATATGAACTTGCTTTTAACGGTGTTAGTCTCTTGGCTAAAAGTATTCTTCAAATCATCTACCAATGACGTCATGCAATCTTCGAGCGCCCTCTAGCGACAGGTTGAATTTTTTTTTAAATGTATTTTGAATAGATGTCTGTGGCGAAGTTTGTCGGAATCGCCTAAATATTAGTGTATATGATGACCTTGACCCACTTAAGACGCGTGCGAAGTTTTAGGCGAATGACGTTATCAGACCGGAAGTTATAATAAAAAGACCCTTTTTCATTTGAAAATTCCTGAAAAATCAACCATGGCAGTTTTTATGTAAGTTTTTACTTTAATTGTCGATTTAAGGGTAGGTCTAAAACATTTCAAAGCTTCGAGGCAATAAGTGAACTCGGACATGCCCTGCGCACGCTTAAAACGTCAGGTTGACAATACCTCTGCTCTAAAACATGCACAGAACGTCTATATCAGTGATGTAGTGCCTTGATGCTGGGCCTTGGCCTTAAGGCTGCCTTAAGGCTGGATTTTAGGGCCTTGGCCTTGGCCTCGAGGCTTGAGGGCAAAAGCCTTGGCCTTGGCCTTGGCCTTGAGGGTTCAGGGCCTTGCAATTTTGAGTCAAGGCTCTTCAAGGCCCATAGATTTTTGCATTTTCCAGATAAATCTGTTCGAAATTTTGCTGTTACCATTTTAATCGTATTACAATGGAGGAGGGAAGCACTATATAGATTTGTGTGTTGGGCACACTTCCACTTTTATAGCATCACATGTTGTTACCATTGTAGTAGATTTGCTGCAACAATATTCCGTACACTTGTGGGGCTAATGAGATGATCACTTTAATTGCATATAACTATGGAATAGATCTGATTGGTTGTATATGTCTCCCTGATAAGTGCTATAGATTTGCATGTATCTGTTTTAGATAATGCTGATATTTCTGACCATGTTGGGCCAGCAAAAAAACATTTCCCAAATCAGTTTCTTGGATCCCCTTTTGTTACACTTGGGAGAATTGCGTGTCAATATAGAAGTAAATCATTATTTTGTTTAGTTAAACCATATTGAAGACCTGAACTTATACTTTAATAGATACAGTGCAGTCATAAAACGGTGTAGGCCTATGCGAGCATGTTGATTGCAATTAAAGAAATGTTGTTCTTCGTAACGAGCGATTCGTGATGATAAGGGCGGATCCAGGGGGGCCAAAAGGGGCCATGGCCCCCCCCCCAAAAAAAAAAACGAAACCATTTTTGTTTATGTGACGTCGTAATAAAGGCAGGCAATGAGTACACCACCATCTTTTCCTCAAAAAACATCAGTTAAAATGGTCAGAAATTGCCTCAAATCGCACCACAGAGCATCTCGAATCCAAAAAATTTTCGGGGCCCTTAAGCGGGCCCCGAAGCCCAAGCCGTAATTTTTTGACCCACTTTTTTGGGGGGGGACCAAAATTCTTTGCCCCCCCCCCCCAAATTGTGTTCTGGATCCGCCCTTGCATGATGATGTGTCACTCATGTGACTATAATTAGTTCTATATCAGTGGTCATTTCATAAAACAGGGCCTTGGCCTTGGCCTTGGCCTTGAGGGTTAAGCCTTGGCCTTGGCCTCGAGGCTTGAGGGTCAAAGCCTTGGCCTTGGCCTTGGCCTTGAGGGTCAAAGCCTTGGCCTTGGCCTTGGCCTTGAGGGTCAAAGCCTTTGCTCCAACACTGGTCTATATGTACATACACGTACGTTACGCACATACATCGTATGTCAGTCAGCCTGCAGAGCACGTGTTGCCGAGGTCAAATCCTGTCCACATCACAGTGACCGTTTTAGCCGATTTTCGGCTAACTTTGACAGATTTTATGTTGATGCATGCGCATAGTCAGGGACATATAATAAAAAATCATAATGCCGAAAAGCCCTATGTTACGTATTTAAAGGTGCAGTTTTTCTGCAGTGGGATTTTCCACAAGTCTTTTCCTATACAACACTGATATCTTACTGAGTAGTTCTGAACTTCGGCCAAGAATTACTATGAGAAGGACAGAAAAATCGTGTGTTTTTTTTTGCGCTGTCATTTGATTCAAAATATTCCCAAGAGGCAGAACATCAAGTAATATTTTATAAAAATGTTTCAGTTCAGAGGCAAATCACATATTTAAAGGTGCAGTTTTTCTGCAGTGGGATTTGTTTTGACTTTGTACACGTTTTCAAGCCACCATTTCTATAACTTGGCGATCTGGAATCGTCATCAATGTTAAGTTACAGCCAAGGAAGACCCTCATACAGAAATTATGCTAAGACTATGACGTCATGATGACGTCATCACCTAGTTTCTTATTGATTTTTAAAAATTTACGTGCATATTATGAAGTCCTAAATCTACAGAACTGTCAGTCTGATTGGGTTGAAACTTAATATGTGACTAGACTGGGATGTGTTATAGGTAAAAAATAAGGTGACGTCATGATGACGTCATCCCGAGATTTTATATGAATATTTGAAGTTTTTGACCTTTTAGCCATATTTCACGAACGTAACATACAAAATTCAAAAATATTTTTGTATTAGGTCTGTTAGGTAATAGGTATTCGCACAACATTTTGAAAAAAATGTGTGACGTCATCATGACGACATAAAAATGCTATTTTTCAAAACACATATAAGGAAAGGTCTGACTGTCATGAAACTTTGTGCGTGAAATCACGTGACCCTTGCTTCTGGTCGAAAAAGGCCAAAACCGGAAGTGGCTTATTATTTAAAAGTGGTAATAGATATGAACTTGCTTTTAACGGTGTTAGTCTCTTGGCCGATAGTATTCTTCAAATCATCTACCGATGACGTCATGCAATCTTCGAGCGCCCTCTAGCGACAGGTTGAAAATTTTCAAAAATGTATTTTGAATAGAGGTCTGTGGCGAAGTTTGTCGGAACCGCCTAAATATTAGTGTATATGATGACCTTGACCCCTTTAAGACGTGTGAGAAGTTTTAGGCAGATGACGTCATCAAACCGGAAGTTATAATGAAAAGACCCTTTTTCTTTTGAAAATTCCTGAAAAATCAACCATGGCAGTTTTTAAATTAGTTTTTACTTAAATTGTCGATTTAAGGGTAGGTCTAAAACATGTCAAAGCTTCGAGGCAATAAGCAAACTCGGACATGCCCTGCGCACGCTTAAAACTTCAGGTTGACAATATCTCTGCTTTAAAACATGCACAGGACGTCCACAATGTGTACATGTACATGCACGTACGTAGTACATCTCGTATGTCAGTCAGCCCGCGGCGCACATGTTGCTGAGGTCAAATCCTGTTCACAGTGACCGTTTTAGCCGATTTTCGGCTAACTTTGACAGATTTTATGTTCATGCATAGTCAGGGACGTAATATTGATAAAATAAATCATAATGCGGAAAAACCCTATGTTCTGTTGCAAACAGACATAGATCTCTAGTTTCTTTCTTCTTTATGTCGCCAAAATCCCATAGACTTTCTACACGTTTTTTCTCAGTGCCACTTTTGACATTAATCTTTGTCATACATCATTGAAAGTTACCACAGGCATAGTCCTTATAGCAAAGATGTGTCCCGAAGAGTGACGTCATGGTGACGTCATCAAGTAATTTATTATAGATTTTTGAATATTTAATTTTTCCCATAGACTTTGTACACAGACATTTAGAAAAAATTGTTGATTTTCAAAAGGCATTTTTGACCCTTTGCCAGTAATTCATTTGCACCAATCTTTGTCCAAGCAAAGACCCTAATTCAAACAACATTGTGTAATGATGACGTCATGATGACGTCATCCGGTGTGTATTTATAGGCAATTAAATTGTGACACTTTTAATATTTAAAAATGCATAAGAAATCAACCGTACGCGTCCGCAGCATTCTGTTGCCGGCAAATTAATGGTAGAGTAGATCGAGGTCTTTATTTCATTCAGTGTGCGTGAAATCACGTGACCCTTGCTTCCGGTCGAAAAAGGCCAAAACCGGAAGTGGCTTATTATTTAAAAATGGTAATAGATATGAACTTGCTTTCAACGGTGTAGTCTCTTGGCCAAAAGTTTTTTTCAAATAATCTTCCAATGACGTCATGCAATCTTTGAGCGCCATCCAGCGACAGGTTAAAAATTTGCAAAAATGTATTTGGAATAGATGTCTGTGGCGAATTTTGTCGGAATCGCCTAAATATTGGTGTATATGATGACCTTGACCCACTAAAGACGTGTGCGAAGTTTTAGGCGAGTGACGTCATCAGACCGGAAGTTATAATAAAAAGACCCTTTTTCATTTGAAAATTCCTGAAAAATCAACCATGGCAGTTTTTATGTTAGTTTTTACTTTAATTGTCGATTTAAGGGTAGCCTGGTCTAACACATTTCAAAGCTTCGAGGCAATAAGCGAACTCGGACATGCCCTGCACACGCATAAAACTTCAGGTTGACAATACCTCTGCTCTAAAACATGCACAGAACGTCTATATGTACATACACGTACGTTACGCACATACATAGTATGTCAGTCAGCCTGCATAGCACGTGTTGCCGAGGTCAAATCCTGTCCACATCACAGTGACCGTTTTAGCCGATTTTCGGCTAACTTCGACAGTTTTATGTTCATGCATGCGCATAGTCAGGGACGTATAATAAAAAATCATAATGCCGAAAAGCCCTATGCTACGTATTTAAAGGTGCAGTTTTTCTGCAGTGGGATTTTCCACAGGTCTTTTCCTATACAACACTGATATCTTACTGAGTAGTTCTGAACTTCAGCCGAGAATAACTATGAGAAGGAAAGAGAAATCGTATTTTTTCTCGCGCTGTCATTCGATTGAACATATTTCTAAGGGTCCGAATATCAAGTAATATTTCATAAAACTGTTTCAGTTCAAAGGCAAATTACAAATTTAAAGGTGCAATTTTTCTGCAGTTGGATTTTTTTAAGCCCGTTAACTTTGTACACGTGTTAGCCCATTGACTTTGTACACGTTTTCAAGCCACCATTTCTATAACTTGGCGATCTGGAATCGTCATCAATGTTACAGCCAAGGAAGACCCTTATACAAAAATTATGCCAAGACTATGACGTCATGATGACGTCATCACCTAATTTTTTTTATCGATTTTTGAAAATTTACGTGCATATTATGAAGTCCTATATCTACAGAACTGTAAGTCTGATTGGGTTGAAACTTGGTATGTGGCTAGACCGGGATGTGTTATAGGTAAAAAAAAATAGGTGGTCGAGACCTGAACATGACTTTTGCGGGAATTGATAGAATTATCGAGGGTCTTCATTTTTTAAATATGTGCAAATAAATCACGTGACCCTTTCTTCTGGTTGAAACCGGAAGTGCTTTGTAAATTAAAAATTGGTGAAAGACGCGAGCTGCTTTCAACGATGTTTGCTCTGGCTAAGTTGTTCTTTACCATAATATTATAGTAATAGATGAAACTTTATTTGACGTCATCATGACGTCATCACGCGACATGTGACGTCATAATTCAAAGCCCTATGCGAATTGAATCACATATTATATGCCACCATTTATTATAAACAGAACTACACATCCTTCGTTGATGGAACACATGTCACATGTCACAAAAAGCTACCGAAACAGCCCTATGTTTGTCCACAAACATATGTCTAGTTGCTACTTTTTTTTTAAGATACCGACTTCAAGCAATTCCGACTCAAGTCAAGTCTACGCCAAGGTTGGCACCTCATTAATTGTCATAAAGTCTGCCGGTCGTGTAATTATAGTTCGTTATGCAGCCTTCCAATAGAAATTCAAGTGTATATTAGTATTCACATGCAATACCTAGTCGTCCATTGTTAAAATACGTAGTCTATAAAAAAACAAATGAAGTTAAAGTATACAATGTTTTTGTTTTATTTGATGTAGGTGGTCAGCGGGGAATCGAGATAAGATCCACCCTCTGGCGTGGATACCCTTCGGCGGCGGGCCCCGTAAGTGTATCGGCTACCGGTTCGCTAACCTCGAGATCGCCTTGGTCATGGTCCGTCTGCTGCAGAAGTATCGCTTCGAAACGTGCGAGGAGACAGATGTAAGAATCCCGAAATAAAAGTTTTGTCGGTATTTGGTAAACGAGTGGGATTTTTGTAAAAACCTTTACGCCTCCAGAGGCATGTCATTTTTTTTTTAAATGACACTTCGTTCAACATTTTGTTCTGAAAAAACGCAAAATTTGCGTGACATTTTAGACAGTCTGATTTCAAAATTGAAAAACATCGCTTTGGAATACCCAATTTCAAACAACAAAGCGACGTTTTAAAGAGCAAGGTGTATATTTGACTCATATTGCAATACGTCAAAATTGACTTCTTGCCCCAAAGTGGCAGATTTCCACAAATCCCAATCTGTACAGCGCAAACTGTCCCAGGATGAAACACAACATCTATATCCATATTTTATGTGAGATTTCATGAATTTGAGCTGGCATTTAACGGCATTTTTATTTCGTATTCTTTTTTTCCCTCCCCCAGATTCCTCCGAAAGTTGGCAAGCACGGGCTTATTCTACCCGAGAACGGCATGACGCTGCGACTGGCCCCACGAAACAAATAAAAGAATTGACTGAGGTGTTGGAGAAACAATTTGCTTTCGGTTTCAAGTGTAATATAGTTATTGTTTATTACTCCAGAGTTTGTGACGGGGAAACTGGTAAGGAGCATGCATTGAACATTGTTATTCTCGGGAATTATCAAAGCCTTGTTACAAGTACGCATGCGCAAATGGCCGGGGATCATGACTGAACGTTCGCTCGTACCCCTCCCCCTCCCCCCCCCCCACCCCCGCCCTGCAAACAGGACGCTGGGACAGGCTGATGAATTTACGCTCTGATTGATAGATTTTGCGTGACATTATATGACCTGCAAGTCATCACGGCCACGACCCTGCAAGGTTTGAAACGGCCGTTAAGATTGAGTCATCACTCTTTCATTCCCAATCATAAATGTTTATTTTTCTCGTTGAAAAGCGTAATTATGTATGAAAATCCGTAAAACTTGTCTGTTTTGTCAATTTCCAATTCCCGTCACTTGCTCAGGCTCCGTTTCAAATTCATGAAGGGTCAAATCACATCCGATGTGGAATGTGTGCGTTTCTATGAGAAAGTTTTCGGATAGCATTTGCGCGCATTGGCTAACTGCGGTCTTAAACAGCTGCAGACAGATGCTTTATACATAGGTCATGATAAATTACCCAGAATGCCATCCCCACTTCACAAGATGATGTGAAGCTCATCAGCGTATCCCAGCGCAGGGCGGGGGTACAAGCGAAGACTGAACGTTACACCCCCCCCCCCCCCCCCCCCCCCCCCCCCCCGCGCTTCCACAAATGAAATTTTCTGATCCTGACAGCCAAATATCCTATACTTTTCCCCCGATTTTCTTAGTTTTTTAAACCGCCGAAAAAATATAGACTATACGTTCCTTGATGCTATGGGTAAGTAGAGGTCAGTACAGTGTTCAAAATATCCCGTCCCTATTGAAGAAAGCAATTTGTGCGCACGCGCAGCAAGATTTATTCTACTGGTGTTGTTTTCCAGTCGTCCTAAATCTGACGTGATTTTCAATAAAAACAAATAATATTTTAGAACATTGTAGAATCAAGCTACTTTCAAGGGCGGATCCGGGGGGGCCAAGGGGGCCATGGCCCCCCCCCAAAAAAAAAAAACGAAACCAATTTTTTTTTTTTTATGTGACATCGCAATAAAGGCAGGCAATGAGCACACCACGATCTTTTCCTCAAAAAAACATTGGTTAAAGTGGTCAGAAATTGCCTCAGATCGCACCACAGAGCATCTAGAATCCAAAAAATTGTCGGGGCCCTTAAGCGGGCCCCGAACCCCACGCCGTAATTTTTTTTACCCACTTTTTTGGGGGACCAAAATTTTTTTTGGCCCCCCCCCAAAAAAAATCGTGTTCTGGATCCGCCCTTGGCTACTTTTGGAGAATATTGTAGAATTTGCTCAGAATCAAATAATATTCTTAGAATTTCTTTAGATTTGGGTGATTTCCTCAACATTTCCCATATTTGTTTTTGTCATTTCCTTAGAAATTCCTTTGAATGTAAAACTTTCCATAAAATGAGGACATTTCCTTGAAAGTGGAGGCAATGTCTGTCCTCAATAATACGAAGGTTGTTAATTCGACGTAGTGACAGGCATATAAGTGGTTCCGTTTAGATATGGCGGAAGTAAACACTATAAATAGTTTGTTTCGGGTGTCAGTGTACGGGTCTTCACGGTTACTTGAAAAACTTCTCTATACAAATTTAGTCATTTATCATTCAGTTTCAAAGTTAGGTCCATTAAGCGCTTGGTCAAGAATTCGTCAACAAAGATTGCCTTCCTTGCAGCTTTCACCGAATGCCAGCATTCAGAGATCAAATGCGTCTCATATCAATCACTTTAACTAATGTCAAGTATATAGTCTGGTAGTGCTTAAGCATTTCCACTGTGTCCTCCAGCACAATCTTGCGCATTCGTTCGTTGGTGTTATCAAACACACTTGTATGGCAGAATATGAATTCTTAGCTCTGGCAACAGAGCTTTTATACAAGACACTTGGGTGTCTGTCGGTCGGTGTTCCCCTCCCCTCAATAAATTGACCAGAAACGAACCGAACCCCCTAACGTCAGGCAAGACTTTTCATGCAAGACTTCTTGCAAAATGGTCAGAGTATCAGAGCTTATTGTGCACTAGTCTCGCACCTGTGTTTTTTTAACTGAATTACACGGTTCGGCATATAGACGAGACGAAATCGACTACTCCTTGACGAATTATGTGCGTCAACTAAAATTGAAATTGTATGATGAAGGACGAAATTAAATATTGAAAGTGCACTAAATCGATTATGCCGGACGAATTTGAATACCAGATTCGTTGAAGTTGCATGAGAAACATTCATAAAATTACCATAGCCAGGAAAACATTACAATAAACATTGAAGTGGTACAGCTGAGATTTTTTGATATCGCTGTTGATAAAGAAGTAATCGTATAATGTGGTATTTGAAAATATTAACCTCGTTTCTCGTAGAATTATAGAAATAGAAGTTATCAGAGCAGCAGAATTAAAAATAGCAGGTTGTAGCTTTTATTTGATAGTCATATGATCGCAAATGTATGATGAGTATACTCTCTAAATATATTCCAAAGAGTGAAATTAGGGACTGAACGTTTTAGAATGAAAATCACTCTCATTTTAGATTGAAAAAGTCTGAAAACAGAACCACTTCAGTCGAAGCTCGACTAAAACCAGCTCGATCGTTTCGATTGAAGGAATTTCACTCTTAAACGTCTAGTCCCTAGTTTCCGACTGTGGTAGTGAATTTTCACTCTTTGGAATTTAGAGAGTAATAAACGAATGAAGTGATGGTTTTATGGACGACCCTCGTAGAAATAGTGTAGATATACACCTATTACTCTTAGTAGAATAACATAATTTTCTTATATTTTCTAAATCAATGGATAGCTGTAGCCATGAATAAATGATGTATAATGTTAATACCAGATAAAAATAACATTAACGTTCATGGTGGGCATGCATTATGTTTGACTATTCTTCAGGTTCACATCGGGATGAAAACCTCAGAAACAGTGTTTACAAGTAAAAGGGGGTAATGATAAGTAAATGTGGATCTTCAAATTTTATAGAAAGAACATATAATTTATAAAATGTCTGAGCACAGTTGTAACATTGTTGTAGTACTCGTACTCGAATGTCAAAGTACTCGTACTGGACATGTCGAAATTATACTCGATCATCAAAGTACTCTTACTCCAATAGAAGTACTCGAAAAAAAGAAAAGATCAGGCTTGAACTATACCTATCACCGTCCGTTTATAAGTGGCATTTAGACACCTTGCAAAGCTTCCAATGATGAATACAAACGTCCCGCCAAAAGCGTGGAATACAACACGCGATAGGGGCAGATCCAGGCCTTTTTTTTGGGGGGGGGGGGTTCATCAGCAAAACCTCCTGAATTGTAGACAGGTTTTTTTTTTCTTTCGATTTCTCCGCATTCCCCCAAGCCAATTATTTCTAACTGAAAGTATCGATAAAATAAGGCCTATAGGTATAGTTCAAGCCTTACCTTTTCTTTTTTTCGAGTACTTCTATTGGAGTAAGAGTACTTTGATGATCGAGTATAATTTCGACATGCCCAGTACGAGTACTTTGACATTCGAGTACGAGTACTACAACAATGTTACAACTATGCTCAGACATTTTATAAATTAAATGCTCTTTCGAAATTTGAAGATTCACATTTAATTATCATCACCCCCTTGGACTTGTAAACACTGTTTCTGAGGTTTTCATCCCGATGTGAACCTGAAGAATAGTCAAACATAATGCATGCGCACCAGTGTTGTAGGTCTCGAGACCGGTCTCGGTCTCGAGACCACTTTTTGCCGGTCTCGGTCTCGGTCTCGGGAGCTGTGGTCTCGGTCTCGGTCTCGGTCTCGGTCCCCTTTGGTCTCGATATTTTGGCTGGTCTCGAGTCGAGACCAGCCAAAAAGTGAGGGGGGGGGCGGATTCCGCCCCGGCCCTTTTAGGGTTAAGTAAAGAATCAGTTTAGGGCAAATGTGACTGCAGTGTTATGTGTTAAGATGATGTATTATTTAATATTTATTCCAGAGTTGTAGTAGTGTATTATTTATTTGGTGGCATGTAAAACTGTATTACATAATATCGGTTTTCTTGTTAAAGAAAATAGTGGCTGGAACGATGTCTTAAACATTTTAACTATTCAAGGGGCGAGCAGTTTAGATTTGCAAATTAGAATGAACAATCGTTAAATTTGGAGAGTGAAAAGTTAGAATTTACGGTATGCATCGGGTGTGCCTGGAATGTTCGTCCCCGTATAAAATGGATCGTCGAACTTTGGGGTGTGCCTTTCATCCCATACCATCGGACGGAGAGGACCGTGAGTTTCACGACTGTGCCCACTGCCGGCTGTTGGGGAGTTTTCCCCGGGGCACACGCCTGAAGACCAAGACCGGGAGTCTGCTGTCTGATGATCTCCCCCTGGATGTCGCTCGTCGACTGGACAGCAGATTGGAGCTTCAAGCAAGTTTGGAGCTGGCCCCGCTAGGGTGCTGCCTGGTTTGGGTTTGGCGACTTCGTCGGACAAGAGACTTGGGTCTGAGTTACCGGACCCTGACGTCACTTCACGGGGGTACTGATGCGACGTGCGTGAACTCACGAGTACGGCGTATTGACCGTACTAGCTGCCTAACGGAAGGACCCGCTAGAGGAACCCCTTTCCCCCTTTTCCTGCTCTCATCACCGGCACCGGAGTCATCATAGAGTACCCACCAAGACAAGAACTATGAACTTTTTGTTATACCCCCTGCTCGCCCCACCACTCACTCTCTGGTAATCTATCATGGTATATTGTATTTTCTTAAATTGAATTTGTGTGTAAAGTGTTTTGTATTGGTTCTGTTGAAATAATAATATTAATTGTTAATTAAGGTGTGAACTGGTTTGCCTTTGCTTTATTCATGTCCACTTTGTTTTGGTTCCGTTTCTGGGGAGTACATTTCGGGGTTGGGTTTACTCTTTGGTTTGGGGATCATAACAGATGCTAATGGACATGTCTCTCTTCACTTTCTAGTGAGTGAGGCATAGTCCAATAACCATTGCTCCTCTTCTTATTTCTCGTTTTTATTGTGGGATGATATGTTGAAACAAGCACTTTATAGCCATCCTCATTGATTCCAAATACAACTGAGATTTAAATCTTATGAATCAAGACTGAAACATTATTTTTACCGTCAGAT